ATCAGAGGTCGCATTTTACCTCCAAAGAGTTTAAAAGCTTTGGTAGTTCGATTAAAGCAACATGTCCTGAACGCTGTAGCGACGACTCGAACCAATGAATACTCGAGCTGTACAAGAAGCTTGAAAAACCCTGTGAACAGGAAAGTCATGGACTGAAATACTATTTAAGCAAAGAACGACTCGCCAAACCGAAAGATGCTAAGAGACAAGCAATTAGACTCACAGTTCAGGGACGACTCAAACGTTCTTTATTCATTTGCTTTTGTACTTCTTCAGAAATGAAAGAATTTTAAAAAAACTAGAACAATTTTTTTTTAAGGACGGTGATTTAGAAATAGTAATCCGGGCACCACCGGCACCACCATTTCGCGGTTCTTTCTCAGTGACAAGTGTAAACAAAGACAGAAACCCTCCAGCATTCAAGGCTACACTCAAAACAATATGAAAATATTTTCTTATCAACTAAAACCTTTGATCACCTGATCTATCCCCTATAGTGAAGTTAATGAACGTAGTGATGAAAGTATTGATAGGGATACTGATTCAAATAATTCATTGATTTGGTTTCTCTTCAATCTGAACACGTAACATTATTATATGAAAATCCTATTGTTTCTTATAAAGAATATCTTGTCTGTACACTTTAGGTCCAATAAGAATTGTAGAAGTTAATGACGTAAGAATATTATTTTAGAAGTTTATTAAATGACTATAATTATTAATTATAATGATTAATTTGACATTAATCAAAAAGCAAATTTGATTGAGAAGATTAAAACAAAAATAAATAAATTAATAATAATAGTAAAATAAATTAAACTAATAACAAAAACCTGAGTCGACCAAAAAGTTGAATAGAAAGGATTCGCGAAAAGTCGATTTCTAGTGATAGCTAGGTCTCCGATTGGCTTGACTCAAGCTGATGATGGATAACTTAGGATTAACAAGCCAAGCCAAGCTCTCGAGTGACTAGACGGAACCTGACGATTGGTAAGCCGTGGTTTCCGATTCGCTAGACGGAAGCTAACTCCAAGTGTTAGCAAGCCATAGTCTCCAGTAAGCTAGAAGAAAGCTAAGGATAGATGATAGCAACTCGTGGCTTTCAAAGCGGCTCACGGTAACTAAATCCGTAATAAGTTTTGTTTAGAACTATGTCTTTCAAAATTACACAATTGTGTAAAAAATGTAATACATAATTAATACTGCCACATAATTACGTGGCAGTATAAAATGATTATTGAAGTATTTTGTGTTAAATCAATAAATACTATTTTTTACTTATTCTAAATACTTGTTTGCTCGCATTTATGTTTCTATTTTGGAAGTAATTCATGAGTCACAAGGTGAATGCTCTGGGCAATCAGCGGTGCCAAAATAAAAGGAGATAAACTTAATTAAAAGCATTAATAATCCGAATTAAAAGCGCTCGAAATGCTTAAATAATGAAACATGTTATACGTCCCGTATTTATCGCTCAGGACATTGAAATTTGCATATCTTTTTAATTTGACGCGTGGTACGTGAAACGATACTCAGGGCCAAGATACTACGCGAATTTGCGTTCGTCTCTCTGCAAATGAATCAAATTCGACCTTATCATGTTAACAGCAATATTCAATACTAAATGTCAGCACCACAAGTTCTCTATATCAGAAGTGAAAAAACCTGTCTGAAGGCACGACGTTACCACACTGGCAAAGTGTGAAATATGAAATCACGACTCTTCCACTTGTTTGTGTTCCAAATATTTTCTTCGTGTCGAAACTCGAAAGCGGACTAAAGTAATGCCTTTTTATTTTGTTGTATACTAAGACTTTCCGAAAAATCAACTTGAAAACTTGACTGAAAAATTTACAAATCACGGGCTTGTTTCATTAAGGTCATCAAAGAAATATCGTTCACGCCACCTCTGTGACGCGACGTATAAGGCATAAAAACTAGGGTCGGCGGACTACAGCACCGTAAGTCGAAAACCAATATCGTCCATTTCAATTAATACATCTACCAAAAGCACATATATGAAATTCAATTGTTACTTCTTTAATATGTAACTTGTCTTTTTGAAATTTGTCGTTCTCTTCACATCTTCCCATATTATAAACAACACAAAAAATATGTAATTATTTATTAAAAATGTAGCACTTTTTTAGTTATGTGATTTAGTCTGCCAACCCTAATAATAATCATTTCTTACTCTATAAAAGTTTTGGTATCTTGTTCATGGTTTCTAAACATTTCTGAATAATTCCTGCAGTCATTTAAGTAACTCCAAACAATTCGTAACACGAGGAAAATTCACAAAAATGTTCATAGGGCGTAACGGTCTTCGTTACATTTATTGTACACAACCGTAAAAGTCCAAGACAATTCCCAAAACAAGATCGAATCCCACGTGTCCTTAAGTAAGATTCTCTAATTAATAACAAAATAACCAAGGAATGGGCTCGTATATAAAAGTAGCCTCTTTAGAACCCTCATAAAACGATTATCAAATAATTCCCCGACTCTTACCGCGTGGTATCCAGTCTATAGCTTCGTTCTCCACTGTAATACAATTTAACGCTTTGAAGGGATAAAATTAATGCGCCGTGTTACGTTTTGATCGGATCATGATATTGTTATTAAGTCGTAACATCGTCGAGTTGAGTAAAATGTATACGTTTAGATTTGGGGCAATTAGTTCATCGCTAATTGCAGACCAGATAAAGAACTGCTTTTAATATTTCTATACCTATACCACTGATGGCGGAAAATGCATGTGAATGTGTCGACCGATTCCCCGTCGCTGATAAATAAAATGTGGCAATATACGTTTCCTTAATTGCTGTTAGCCGACCGGCTCTAGGCAACAGTCGAAGCTGCGCATTCTAAAGTATTTACACGGTATTGCCAGCTCGCGCGTTTATAAAGGCTACCTGCACACGTACGCTTACGTCGGCTGCTTTTTATGGGCTGACGGAGAGTCAATGTCGTGGGAACCGGCATATACTTAGGGCCAGCCACAGCTGACCGAAATGCGCTCCACATACTTGATTAACAAATCAATATATCGTCGTTCGTGTGCTACTACTAATCATACTTGAACAGTTGATCACGTATTTAAATATTTATGTTTGTCCACGATTTAGTCGCTACAGAATTTACTGTATTTCAAATGATGTCGATCTGAAATAAAAGAAAAATTTAGGTTGTAATTCGCGTACGTTTTCTGTGGCAAGTAAACTTAATCACCTGTTTGATATTCAAAAGCCAATGATAACATTTCCGCCTGTATCGTAATGTAAACATGTTTAATTGAAAAAAAAAACAATATATTACGAGTAAATTAGTACACTTAAGGCGAGGTATTTCAACACGAGCCTGGATTTTTGTAGGTGAGGTGAGAGAGACCGCCCCTCGCGTCACGCAATCTTCGCACTTAAAATTAATATTAATAAAATAAGAACAGGCGGAGAAAATTTGACACAGATCCGACATCGACAAGCGCCCATTGGTGACTGATGAGGCAGCGGGCGACGCGGCGTGTCGTTACACCGCTGAGCAATTTTGAAGTTAGAGAATAATAGATAAATGTGAATTTAATAACTATAGGGCTTCAGTTGAAAACCAAAATTTTGCAGGTTCTCTGCAGTATTTCTCCATACAAAAGTTATATTATGCAAAGATATTTTATTCTTAAACAATTCGATATAAAATATCATATTATATTTAATAAATCGAATAAAGAATTAGCACATTCTTTAGACAATATCCTTATGTGAATCGAATATATATTATTTATAAGACTCTTATTTAACAGTAAAACCTAAACCATTTGGTCTAGCAAAACAGCTTCTCCACTCAAACATCAAACACTTGACTTAAATATAAAACGAGACCAAGAAGAGAGCCAATTTTGGCATATTTTTTCAGAATTTGAATAATTCCATGTGGAACTGAGTACATGGAACTACTGGGAATAAACCACGTTTATGACGTCATATGAGAAAAAGGTGATTTCTCGTATTGATTTCCATTGACTGACAATAATCATTGTTCATTTGAGGCTTATTAGTTCCTATGCAAATGACTCTTTGTTTGAAATTATGCATGTAATCTCTCTATTCAGTGTGTTGTTAATTGACGAATGGAGACATCTGTCAGGAAAAACTGAATCACTCCTTAAGAGAGTAGTAAGTAGAGTGATGAAGTAATTAAATGGTGACCCTTCATATCCGCTGAGCGCAGCTGCGAGTTTATTGTAATTACAACACAGGTCCGCTGAATCCGTTCGTCCGCCTTAGCCATGCAACCTTTGAAACACATACCGTAGGTCAAACTTGTCAGCGCTTGTTATCGGAACTTAATTGACAATGACGGTTTCTTCTCATCGCATTGATGCTCATTGTATTTTAGTGGTCCATGCCACGGCTACCTTGAAAATGATTAATTCCTTTAATAAAGTTTCGTCGCGATCGCCTAAAAAGTGTTAACTTGTCGCGTTATCGTGTTTAATCGATTTCGACTGCCGTTTCGCCTCCTTGTGTAAACATCGACAAATGTCAATAGCTCACTATCTGATAGGCAGCCGTTCTTATTTTTTGTAAAGGAACCATTACATGATTCCATATTGGGCACGTTAAGCATACGACGGGCGTCGTCGTCGTGGCCTTATTGCATTTGCTGTATTATTTTTAGCGCATATTGAAACAATTTCGCTGCCATCTGCTTGTAGCACACCTGTCTATCAAGTGCTAATTTATACTCGTTCGCCATATTATAAACAAGTACAATGTAAGAAAAATTGGAAAGGAAATATTCTGAACGAGTGTACAATATCTATAAACGTCTTTTATCAATTATTTTAAACAGCTGTATTATTCATTCACTTACAATAAACTCTCTTACAACTAACTTAGTTTAATACCAACAACCTTAAACCTTACCTAAAAATGTTATATAATGTTTACCGTGCAGAACAAAAAATAACCGCATATTAAAACATTTTTCTGTTTTTTCAGGGCACTTTCTCGCTTATTGTTGAAGCTTGGCACAATACGACGGAAACATCAAGATCAGATGGTGAGTTTTTAAAAAAATATTTGTTTTTCCTTGGGCTTTTGACTCCTCGTGAAGCTAAGCGCCTTGCCTATAACGTTAGAGTATAAGTTACTTATTAAACTGCAAAAGCGAAAGCGCTGGTGCGAATGCGCAAGCGAAGGCTTTATGTGTACTGCGGACTTGTGATATCTTTGATATGCCTGATATTTTAATAGCCTGTCCCACAACCAGCTGATGCTGAAACGGAGACTGGTGAACCCAGCTGATGACAGCAGATCAAACGAACGTCAGCGATAGTTTCTGAAAACAAAGAATTTAGATTATGACCTACAATACGGCAAGAGACGCACACGACGATTCCGCCGTTCACTTTGCTTTCCAGGTTTGGCGCCTCGCTTATCCTCACTACAGGAAGCTGACTACTCAGAGGATCATGAAATTACCGTCGAAATGTAAAATTCAAAACACGTCGGTCACGACTCGCTCACATTCAGGCTTCACTGTAATTCTGGGTGTTTATCGTGCGTTTAACGGACAGTATGTATATTTGAATGCTCATATTATCATATCGTGGAAGACAAAAATGTTCCCATGGCGTGGACACTTGGCGTTCGGAGCACGCGGCACCGTGCGTGATTCGCTTCGCAATGCACACAGTATTCTAATAACTCAGCCTTCTGTAGGACGAAAATTTACTAGAAATGTTCTAATGTATTCCGATGGCCGTTGACCGGCACTAGTCGAGGTGTGAACGAAATGCAGACACGAAGGCGAATTTATTATGTTTTACATTTTGTAACATTGAAAACTTAAAATCAAATTCTAAGTCCTCAAACTTGCAATATGCCGTATGTTTGATAATTTTAGATAATCATCTATAGTGTGTAGTCGATGGAATAGATCAATAACAGCGGTTCATTTAATTTTGACGATATCACGAGGAGTCTAAAGGCCGAATAAGGAATCGACAGGCGGTTTACAGCGTACATGCGACATGGCGTGACCGAAAAAACTATTACGAATGAATTGTTACCGACGTGGTCGTAAATACATCATCATGATTTTTCGCTGCGTGCATCATTGTACACAACTCGGTACCTTTAAGTATTAACCACGAACAGTTTTAGGCTTTACTCGGATTACTACTCGGATTTTATCCATTCAATAAAGGAACCAGAATCAGTTTCGTTTTCTAAATAATAAAAACAGCACGGGCAACTACAAACTGCTCAGCACCGCCCAATTCTTAATTAGATTTTCATCCCACTGCACTCTGACCGACATAATTACAACTCCCGACGGAACAACAAAAAACTGTGGTGATTTACTTAAAAGAGATTTAAAGATACGGTGAGGTGTGCCTACGAGCCGGTTTACCGAAAATCATTAGCGTTCGGAGTAGATAGTATAGCAGGACGGGTATATTTTTAATATGGCTCGGGAGCGATGGGCGGCGCCGTCTCACTACCGAGAAATGTTACCAACAGAAATCTAATCAACCATAATAACAGGTTACACGCACGCCGTTTGTGTTCACTCTACTATCTACTCACTGGCTAATGCTTAATTAAATCACATTCGGTTTTTACTAATACTGGGTTAGTACAGCTGCAGCGTTTTAAAACAACAATCAACATACACAACCTAATCCGATATTGCAAACCTTGTATGTTCGGTATTTTGTTACTTATTTCTTACGTAGCATTGCTGAATAGAACTGCCTTTCGCGAGACTTATAGGGGCGACTCACGCCCACAGCAAAAAAGTATATTTCGCAAATAAACCTCCGTTTTGTATTAGATTATTGTATCTTCTTACAAAGAAATACTTGCACTCAACATACAGCTTTACAATACTGATTCTGCTCGCTAGCGATGTTAATGTTGTCGGTCGTTTCTTTAACAAAATCTTTTGTCATGACCCTGTGCGACTTGGGCCGCACCTGGTTTCTACTAACGGACGAGGCATTGTTTACTCTGTACTAAAAAATTTCCTCAGAGGGAAGTGATTTTTTTGTTTACACCTCGTCTTTCTTCGTTGTGGGGCTTGCACTGTATAAAAATTACGGTAGACGCTCCGGAAGGTTCAATTTATGATAAGAGCTGTCGATGTGGCACTCTCAGGAAACGCCGACGACAGACATTGAGCACATGGGCTTGAATAATAGGTGGGCACGCAGCCGTCTTAACGCTTTGTTTACCGAGACGCGCTTGCGCCACACCACTTCTATAGCATTCAGTTGATTTTCTGTTCGTTGAAAACCAATGTACGGTATTAAAAATGTCATGGGCCTAAAATGCAATTATGTGTAGGTCGGCGGGCGGCACTCGTCGCCCAGGGCCCCGCTACTGCACTCCGCCTGACATTACACGACTGAGATGCGATTATCGATACAGTTACGATGTGACGGCTCCTTATCTCGTTATCCGGCCGTGCATTATTAGTTAATTCATTACGCGCTCTAGCTAGTTCCTCGTGCGCAGTTCCCAGAGCTCTCTCCCGTCTTTATGATTACTTATGTTCGCGTCGTTAATTGGCTTTCTCAAAGGTTAAGCATGACGTACGTCATCGGCCGTCCGGAAAAGTAACGTCTGAATTGCACAATTCTGCGCATTCATCAGATTCTCATCAAAGAAAGATAACATGATTTTCTTACTTAAAACAATAGCAAATTTAAAACGCATAAAATCGTCTCCGGTGCTATTAATTTCCAAACAATGACAAATACAGTATTACTCTTTAAATTAACTATTACAAGTTGAATAATTGAGTATATACTATTCATCAAATTTATAGATAATGACGAAGTACGTCACACAAATTCGAATATGGGAACTGAAGTGGTTTTATAAACAAAACGAGTGCGTGTTTGTATACACAGCTCATTGATGATATGTCGGTCTCCACAACGCCGGCGGCGGCGACGGATAGTGGCGGGCAGGGGAGTGCCGCCGACCGGCCTGGCAGGTGTCCGAATCGAGATGGACACTCGAGACGCAGCCTAATGATCTGGTCTTCAGCTGCGGAAAATGGTCGATGAACTTTGACGTGCCACAACATGGTCTCGCATTCGTTTTCAGTTCCAATCTTCAGCAAGAAGCGTACTATGTCTCGACTGTTGCCATTTCCATTAACTATACACCGCGTTCGGAAACTGCACTTCTCGAGACGATAACTGATTATCATATTGAGCGGAAGTTCCTTGCGTGATCCTTTCTCCCACTATTCCATAAACTCGAGTTCGAACATTTTAAATCGGCCGTGTCCGCCACCGATAGCGTAGCAAAGTCAAATTATCGGTTATTTCGCTTTCTTTTGTTTTGTTTATTGCCGTTTGCTGTTCGAATTTATTCTCATTTTATTTGTAGTGACCTCTGGGCCGTAATTACACGTTGTAGACCGCTGCGGCGGCGGCGCGCCACGTACCCACAGTTACTGCCTCGTCCTTCTTTAAAAGTGTTATTTATTTGTGAATTACATTAATAGACACGATAGTCGGGTACACCTTCATTTAATATCATTACAGTTCCGAATTAAGAAGATGAGTATAATTTCACTGTTTTATGGCCGACAATAGGACGCTGGGGAATTTTTGAAGAGTGCATGTTTTATGTGATTTGCCACAACGCTGTAATATCTAGGTTAGTAAAATCAGTTTGTTAATGCAGCCGTAGTAATGACAAAAAGGCAGTATTCACAGTTAAGTATCCATAATAGAGGTTTTCAACGGCAGCGGCAAGTGAAGCGCATGAATGCTACAATTCACGTACGCACTTGAACAAAATTACTGACGGCTTCTTTATTCCCACACATCATTTTGTTAATTTTTCCTACTCTTCTAAAATAATTAAGTTTTATTTTACTTTGCTTCAAGACTGTCGTGTACTACGCTCGATTTCGATACTTTAGAGTTGTTGCCGTTACAATCCCCAACAAGATGTAAGTAAAAAACGGCTGACAGCCTAAGAGAGTGGGTAATCGACGATTGGAGATAACAAACTTCGTCTCATTACTTGAAATCCTTTATCGCCGACACGTACAACAAAACAAAGAACAATCGGATCGTATCGAATACCATACGCCACGAAATTAGTCGGATCGATCGTTTTTATATACCTTTTAATTTTGTTTCGCGTCTGGTTTAATTTTATCTGCTGTCAGGATTACCGGCTTAGGAATGTACCATCGAGCGTGGCAACAAGAGTAAAAAGTGGGCATACACGACGAGAAATAAATAAAGGTAGGAACTGGTCGAGGCTGAGGTTTCTCAGCATGCCTCTGACTCGCCACTTACATCTCTTTGATGAATAGACTGGCATTTTTTATCAATGAGGGTTATTTAATTTTTATTAGCTGCTGTTATAATATGCGTGACATACTCTTTTCACAAATCTTATCTAGTTTTCCAGGATTTTCTTAGGCGTACATTTTGAGTTGGTAGTTTCTTAATAAGTTCTGAATTATGTAAAAAAAAGAATGCATCAGAAAACTTTTAATCAATCACACAACGGGTGCCAACGAATCAAAACAGTGAATCACGCTTGGGAACAATGAAATCTCACGGTCGAATGCGGGCGTCAAACGGTCGACTAACAGGTCAATTTACTTCTGTAACCCTTTCCCACGATGATAAATAAACAAATAGCTTTTATCCCTGCTTTTGGATAGCAGAATTCTTAAGAAAAAAAAATTGTCACCACTAATAAAACTTGCACTAAAAAACTGCGCATTTATTGCCAATTTAGTACGAAAAAAACTTCTTACTAGCTAAAGCGATTCATAATATTTAAACTGGGTTTCACTAGTTAGGGACGCTAGCAATGTTCCGTTAGTCTACTGCAAAAAGCGAAAAGTTGAGAATTGGTGGTACCTGTAGCGACTAAACGAGGGGCGACGCTGATCTCACTACAGGTGCCTTACTCACACTGTTATCTTACGTTATTTTCTATTGCAGACACCCTAATCGCGCGGATGACGAAGCAAAGCATAGCGGATGTCGGAGGACCTTGGGTCGAAGAAGAACAACGGTGGGGAGGCGCAGCTGGGGCTCACCTCAAGCTGTCGTATCGGGTAACATGCGCGGCGCACTACTATGGCGCCGGCTGCGAAGTGCTGTGCAGACCAAGAGACGACCAGTTCGGTCACTACACCTGCTCCCCCGCAGGAGAGATCGTCTGCAAGCACGGCTGGACAGGGGACTACTGCTCGAAGCGTAAGTATTTTCTTTTGTCTAGTCATATATATGCATGTCTGTAGTGACTAACCAATTAACCATTCAATCGCGCAAAATAATGAAGATCACTACTACTTACTTATCTGAAGTGACAATTTCATTGACTCATCTAACAAACTTCCAGTGTTTCCTTTGAATAATCAAAGCTAAGCGAATTTTTTTTTATATCTTTAATCTATCCATGCCTTATGTTCGCTCGAGAGCTGCTGTGTGAATTTGTATTGTGTTTTAAGTTTTCGCCTATTATTATTTGTCTCATTTATTTAAGCCGCAAAGTTGTGGAGTAAAAATTCGATGTCATAATATGACTGTGTTAAATATGGAACGCCCTACAATTCATTCTTCCTCATTAACTGTTACAGTGTAACATTTTATACGAGCTTCCTCTCATATAACTGTAATTGGGGTTTACAGCTAAGCCGCGAGGGAACCCGCGAAGTTTGGAGCCCAAACTTTTTGACAGAAGCAGGCACTAAAATTTCGTAATGTTTTCTAAGTAGCGGATTTACTCATAATTAATTCCGTATGAGACATCTGCCATAGAGCCGCCATGTGCTGACGCAATAGCGGTGGTAGCTAGGTAGCCGGTGGAGTATAGGCACGGATGACGTCCCGGTTCTTTCTGCCTCTAATTATTGCAGGTCGCAAATAGCACTTTTAATTATTTGCCGGGTATAATAAATAATGTATAATAACAATAAATAATGTAGAATAAGAGCAACCATCTAGTGAATTAGTAAAATAAATGTAGACGGTCATATTCTCAGCATCCTGTGGGTAATGTTCGACCTCCAAGTAAATAACTTGAAATAAGTTTATATATTCGCCTAATTGTAAGCAACCATGGTAACTTTACAAAGTAGACATCTGGTAGATTTAACTGGTCAACTAAAAGGCAAGTTTTCCTTTGGGCAGGTTCTGTACATCGTTATGAAATTGAGTGAACGGATCCATAATGCTTTGTTCGTCAGTCAGTCAGTCTGTCCCATAGTAGTTGCGAAGCGTGTGACTGCACGTGTGGTCTGTTTGTCTTTCATCGTCCACGAATACCGTGTTTGTAAACACACCAACGATAGCATTAACGACATTCATCAATATCCATCCATTTGTTTATTTTTCATATTTATTATGGTTGTACATAAATATTTACGCACGTCATACAGGTACCTATAGAATTTAATGTCGTATTCAAAGTAATTTACTTTAATTTTACAGGCTGTAAACTTTTATGTCTTAAAAAATACCAGATCAAATATACATGTAGAGATTTTGAATTAAACTATTGAAACAAATTGAGATTTGTTTTTAGTCCCTGCGATCATTACGTAATCATCGCTTATTAAACACTGTTTGGAACCTAGTAAGAAAGTTACGATATAAATATGATGTTTATTTCTTCGAGGTTTGTATTGTAAAACACGGCGTATCGTCCTGAGATGCATTGTGGCCGGGCGGATGTCGCGTCGCAATCTCGGCAGCCCCACCTGCCGCCGCGTTCCCACACTCCGGCGCCGCAAAAAACGCGCCAGACAGAGATGGGTGGACCTGCTCTCTGTAGCGTGCTTTCTCGCTCGCACGTCAGGGCTGCCGGCGTGCAAACCACGATCTCCTGCCGCGTATCACAGACCAGATACTTCCATGTACTAAACCACATTCGAAATGTGTGTTAAGATTGATCTGTGGGACTATACGAATTCTGATTTGTTTGTGGTCCATTAAAAAACGAAACAAATATGTATAAAATACATAACAAAACCCAAACCCAAAGACAAATTGAAATATTTGCATGGTATAGAAAATAGATATACCAACAAATAAGACTTAAAATGTTTAAACAATAAAATGTCGCACAACCCTATCAGGTGATTTTGTATCGGCGATTACGAAAATGTAAAAGCGAGAGAAGCGGCCATAATGAAATGAAAACAACGCTGTACGCTCACACACACATGCACATTTTTCTGCGGACCGCAACACAGATGCCACGAACCGGGTCAAAAACACCTTTAAACGAGAACTGAACACCAATCGAAATACACTCTGTACTTGACCGTGTCACGAAACTTGCCTTACAGCTGCCGAACTGTACCTATCTCGCTTTCTGGGAAAGCTTTAACAATCCCAAAACTTATTTGCATGTCCCGATCGCATTATTTCTCCATCCCAGGCGCTCGCCGTTAATGATAGGGTAAATAAACATAGCGAGAGGAACCTTTTACAGCCGCTTAATTTCGCTTGCTTGTAAACGAGCTGGAGTTCTCACGAATATTACCTTCTGTGTTGAATCGCGAATCCCACGCGCTCCTAATTTCCGCTTTGTGAAGAAGCAGATGTCGGATGAAACAGTTAAATATTTGCCCGGTCCCGAACACGTGTGGGAGAATATCCTTAAGAAAGGTCGCTTTTTGTCGCTCCTTACCTTACCTGCCTAACAAAGGCCAAGACTTGTTAAAACCTTGAAAGCTTGGTCGCAGTGCGGCACACAGTCTTTCATTAGAAATCGATACTGTTCGTGCTCACTGATAATAATTAATAGCTCTGCAGGAGAATGGTTAAAACATCCTCCCCGCGGGTGTTTGTGCCCACTTATAACCATAATATTGGTTTTGGAGTGTGATTTTTACGACTCCCGTTTTACCTACCGTTCAAAGAGGAAGATAAGGCCGAGCAGGAGTGCACTGAAGTGGATAGCACCGAGCAAATGAGTCCGACTGACTCTCCAATTTCTTTGATGTACTTTCGTTCCGCCGACATGCTCATTCAATGATTTACATATTTATTCATTTTACCCAAAAACTTTTCTAATTATTTAAAGTCTAATATATCTAATAATAATAATCTTCTATCGCTATTTCTTGCACCAAAATGAGATTGCTTGTGTTAGGTACAGACAAACTAGAGGATTAGGTTTAATTAATTATGCGCCGGATATACATAAGTCGAGTTGTTTCTAATTTAACGGAATTAGTAGTAATCCAATTGGCAAACTCTGAACAAGTTTTCGGGGTTTGGTATTCTCTAAGCTGGTTTAAGACTAAAGCTCAAATAAACAGTGTAAGGAGAGTAGCTGTAGGCCAATCTGATTTATGGCTGCTACAGATCCGAAGCTATTTGTGCGATTTATGTATTTCTCATTGAATTATGAATGCGGAACCAGGCTTTTAGTTGCATTTATAATTGTAGTAACAACACAACTACTTTTAGTGTTTTTCTAGTTTGTTAGGGGAATAGTTATAGTAACGGTCGAGTGACGGTTAGGCTCCCCGCGCTATCTGCCCCCTTTGTATTCGCTCCGATAACTTGCCCATGCGCACCCGACCGATACGACTCCACATCGTACTTCTTATTTCAAAATACCACTTTTTCTGCGCGCATCACACATAACTTGGTTGTGCCTATAGTTCATTTACTTGTTTTGCTACCATAAAACCTTTTCTGGGACGGTATCTATAGTAAGATTGTCTTTACTGAATAGTAGCACTAAACAATCAGAGGATTAGGTTAAGCGAGCTAAGCGTTTGTAATTATTAACTGAAAAGTTTTTTTAAACTGGGTTTGTTGAATGCATTTGGAAAGAGCTGATTTCCTTCCTTCCTCCCATGTATTCATGAATAAATCCTAATCTAGTTTCCAGTTACACCTATTGTTTGATGCGCTAATGAACGTTTCTTTTTGTTGCAGCGCGATGCCTGCCCGGGTGCGACGCGGAGCACGGCCACTGCCTCAAGCCCGACGAATGCATGTGAGTCTCCACTTCACACCTTTGTGATAAACGCTTAACGTTGCCTTCTTCCATGTCTAAATCATTCATCCTCCTCATTGTTCCATACAAGAAGAAAAGACACACATTTAGTCGTTTGTTATCGCTTTGCTAACGAATGTTTTCTTTTAATTTCAGTTGTCATTCTGGTTGGGTGGGCGAACTCTGCGATCAATGCGAGCGACATCCGGGCTGCGTACACGGAACTTGTTCCAAACCTTGGGATTGCATATGTGAGGAAGGTTGGGGCGGTCTCTTCTGCAACCAAGACTTGAATTATTGCACAAACCATCGCCCGTGCAGAAACGGCGGCACTTGTCACAACACCGGCCAAGGAAGCTATACTTGTGTTTGCCCTCCAGAGTACACTGGGCCAGATTGTGAAAAGTCCCTTCATTCTTGCGCAGTTCGTCCTTGTCTAAACGGCGGAGCATGTGTTCCGGATGAAGGCGGAGAACTTTCCTGCGCTTGTCCTTCGGGATACGAAGGGTCGAGATGTGAAACCCGAAGACTGACATGTGTCGACCACCCGTGCCGGAACGGCGGGACTTGTGAACCCCGACTTACTGGCTACGTTTGCGTTTGCCCGTCAGGCTACACTGGTGCTGATTGTGGTGTGGAAGCTGATCCGTGCGCAGCCAATCCTTGCCGAAATGGAGCAACTTGTACCAGAGCTGGAGACGGATTTAAATGTTCCTGCAAAGCCGGTTTTAGAGGTAACCGCTGTGAAATTGATATAGACGACTGTGCGGGAATAATTTGTGAACATGGTGGTACTTGCGTCGATTTAGTCAACGGCCAACGATGCCAATGCGCTCCAGGTTTCCTGGGCCAACGATGTGAAACACGTGTCGATCTCTGCATAGCCAAGCCATGTGCAAATGGCGGTGAGTGTTTTATTTTGGACAACGACTACGAATGTCGCTGTCGTCCTGGATTTGCAGGCAAAGACTGTAGTATCGACATCGACGAGTGTGCTTCTTCGCCTTGCAGAAACAGTGGCACCTGTAGAGATAGAGTGGATGGATATCATTGCAACTGCGCTCCCGGTTGGGGAGGCAAATCTTGCACGGTTTCTTTAGCAGACATAGTAACCGCGAGGCCGGCTGGAGGACACTTAAGAAGAGTTGGCGACGACTCACCAGATGATGAGAACTTGTCAGGAAGTCACGTGGCCCTGATCGCTGCGTTATCTGCAGCAGTACCTGCCGCGGCTTTGGCTGCGGCTGTAGCAGTCGCTTGTGTACGAAGAAGAAGAAAACGTGCACAAAGTGCAGCCGATGCCGAAGCGCGCGCGCAGAATGCAGCCAACGCTGGGAATGGTGGTCGGGTCATACGGAACACTTGGGGAAAATGCGAAGCGCCGGTGCCAGAGTGCCAAAATGCGCACAACGCAGCGGCTGAAGAATGTAAAAGAAAAACCTTGAATACAGAAAGCGCTGCAAGACTTCTGGCAGCTTTAGATCCTAGACTGTCACGGCTCTCCGCGGACTCAGCGTGTTGGGCTAACAGGTCAGTATTTACGATGCTTGCAATTCTTATTACACTCATATCGTCTTATACATATAAGACTGAATTGCTGGTATCAAGTGGTTTTTACCTTTATTTTCTTTCTTTACAGTGACACGTCACTAGTTAAACGAGCGCTGGAAGGCGGTGGAGTGTACGTGTTAGATGATCATTGTCTGCCACCGACGTTTGCCACGCAGGTTTAGTGTTTACAAACGCGGCAATGGACTAAAATAACTTATTTATTCACTTCGGACGCTCGTGCGAAACTGGCTGTGCGCCGCGTGTAAATATAACGTTAAATGTAAAGTGAACCCCTTGTATAGATGGCTAGTAATAAGAATTCGGATGTATTTATTTGAAGTTGCGATTCGTACGCCCTGTAAATAGTAATGGCGGAACGGATTGCGTTTTCCGCCCCCGATTGGCAAGCGTCGCCCGGTGTGTCACTGCCAAATTGAGGCAGATTTTGCTGCCCTCTTAATCGGCCGATCTCATTTCTACATTACAAATGTATATCGGTGCAGTATGCGAGGATAGAGGGTGAAGACCGCGTTTGCCGTGGGGCCGGGTGGACCGCGGTCCACGTCTGCGATCTCTGTAGGTAAGGTGCGAAAGCAGCGCGCACGCGGTGTCGGTCCACTGCGGGGCGCCGCCTGCCTCGTAGAAACGATACTGATTCGACGTACTTATTCTACATAATGTATACTCCATATTTAATTTATGCTTCGCAACATTACTTTTATTTTTATTCGTTTTAACGAGTTTATCGCAAACATCTAACGGACATGAAATGTGTCAACTTTATACTTCTACATAATGTTCCAGCCCAGTATCGCTTCTATGAACCTTTCACACCACTAACTGTCCCTCTTTAAGACTCGCACCAGTATAAAAGCCAAACCGTGCATAAAATAAGATTTTAGACTAATTTATAAAAATAACGCTATCAACGCGTTTATCAGTCTTACATTGATCGTATTTTTTGTGATTGACTATTTTTAATATTGTTCCTATGATTAATTCAAAGTTAGTGAGTTCCCGTATCAGAAATCTTGTTCAGTTTTTTCGTAAAAATCGACAAAGATTTTCTTATTCTTTGCTTCCGTACTTGAAAGGTACAGTTCGCACAGTTCCTGGATGTTAGGGTGCAATTTCCCCAGCCTCTGCGTCTCTCGCGCGCTCATACCTTCGTACTGCGCATGTGCACACAGAGGCTTGGGAAATTCCGCTCAGGCAAAGTATCATCACGCACGATATTAGTTCATAGGTTAAAGTAACTTGAACGTACTTATAAGAAACAAAATGTCGAAACCTAAGTCATTGTGTATAAAAAGTTATTAAGTTTTAGATGTTAAGTATATTCTCCATTACTATTGTAAGAGTATTGTGACAATATGAAAGCAACATTAGGCAACATAGGACACGTTGTCACAGATTGTTTTAATTTATTTATTTTAGCAGTAACATGTTCGTTTTAGACTATTCGGTAAAGCACATATTCTATAGCGAATTTGTGCCTTATTGATAAGCAACATGCGTAATTTTCAAGGAAAATGTTAAATAAACTACCATTATTACAAAAGATTGTGTAGATATTAAATTAATAAGTCTTAGGAATTTTCTCTTATGTTGCCTCTTGTACTAAATCGTAGATTATAAAGGTTAAATCGACAAAATTGTAAAATTTATATCAAACTATGAATAGACTGATGATCAATAATAATGTTCTTGTATTTAATTTTGTAAGATGACAAAATGTAAGTTAAATTATGTAAAAATAGATACAAATTGATGATCCAAATCTGAACCACGTGAAACTCCATCATTTTGTACTTAATTGGTTGAAGCGGTTTAATAACTTTCATTTTTCTTTTTTTAAATGATCTTTGATTCTTAATTTATTTATTGCAACGGTGTGCACCATAGTAATTATTTTTGTTTACTATTTATATTGACAAATAATTCTCTAATTTTATTTTACTATGTTTACTATTAAATGAAACGAAATTAACTTATCCTGAATTTGTTGTAAAATTAATCCTGAATAAAATTCCATCATAAAATATAAATACCTAATTTTTGTGAGTATACTGAAAGATATTTTAAATCATTCCATATCTTAAGGTTAGCATGCATACAACTGTATCATTTCAAAGCTTTTTACTATTTTCTTAGTGATTTTTACCTTTGTTCTGAACGTGTTTTATTTGATTATCTTTTGTTTCGTCTTTAGGACAACGTACAATTAATCACGTTAGACTTTCGTAATCAACTTTTAGTATATTCACATTTCCTTTTTTAATCAAAAGAAAAATGAAAGCAATTGTCAGGGCAGGTAAACTCTATAATGTAATAATTCCACAGCTGTACTCTACCTGAATAAAGTCAAATTGTATCGCTGTTGCGATAATTTTGACAGCGAGTGTTTGTGACGAATGTGTATTATTATGTGCAGTGATGCAACGAGAAATGTTAATAAACAATTGTTTACAAAAGATTAAAAACAGAATTTTATTACCACATGTATTTCAAAAATCCCCTTTTGTTTGTCTCTTTGCCCAGAATGGACTCCGAAACGTCCAATTACTTTGAAGAGTTGTTCAAAGTTCGTAAAGAAACTACACTTCATTTCATCTCGAGTTTATAGTTTCGAAGTAAGAGTTCATACAGAAAACGGCTTTCACAAATCTCCCGAAGCGTGTCAGGAAACCTCGTCTTTAATTTTCCGTTTCTCAAAAGTTAAAAGTTTTAAGACGGGATGTTAAAAATCTTCGCCGGATTTAAACCCTGAAAAATGCTATGAATTTTCAAAGCTAAAAAAGAATCGTAAAGCCAAACCAGTGTTTTTTAAATAAACCCGGGTCAAGGATGTGACTAAGCGTGTTGTAAAATTTTATTTCTGTTGATATGTACGTTATGTTGTAGTTTTATTTCTGCACTGTAATTTCACGTGGTCCCATGGATCAATCGGTGAGTAGTAAAAGCTTTTGAAGTAAAACGCTAGTGAAGCAGCTATACTAGATTTATTTATAATTAATAAATGCTTATGAATTGTTTGTGGACATGTAGTACCACACTACAGTTAACTTAGTAAATGCTTAAATGAAAGTTTAGTTAATAAACCGCTCAACGTAACATAAAAACTCCTTGCCGTGAAATACGGTCATCATGGTACTTGACAGAGACATGAAATCAAAGAAAATAACATAATTCATCTAAATTCACAAGACAGGTGCGAACCGCTAGACGGTAAACCACCTAGGAATAACATTAAATTCTTGAGAAGATTTTCGATGAACTCGTTAAGAACCAGTAACGCCATCTGGCGTTAAGTAGTGAACAGTTCAGTGTGACTTTATCTAACATGGCATGACAAAAACGCAATGTTATATAATGGTGCGTCTTATTTCCAGTATGACCAAAATAATTTGAAATTTAAATATTCAATATAGGTAAAGTCCGTTTTAAGTCGGTTTTAGTCGCAAAAATATGTTTTAGTCGGTTCGCCGTGCTCCATAAGGATATTTTACTGTCCTCGTTGGAATTCACTTGTGTTGGCACCATTTTTCAGTCTTGAGAACCACATCTAGCTTAGATCTGATTGCAACCAGAAAAGTTAATAATTGCGTTGATAGGTACGTTTACGTACAAAAATCGTACACATAATAAAAAATGTATGTTCTAGGCAAGGCCACCGTTCCAATTGTTCTTCGGAAGTGGTGAACTGATTATAATAATTTCCAACATTTTGAATATTCTTTTTACGTACTTATCAGTATCACACTGAACCGTTCATTCAGTCATAGATAAATTCCCATATAATATTATGTGGTTGTACTTGTTACACTGGTACTGTACTGTTCAGCCGTGCTTACGATAAGAACAGTATGTCTATATGAATTGCAAACATACTTACTGTTAATATGGTAAGCACGGCAGTGTTATACTTGCAATGGTGCATTTAGATTTTGATAATGAGTGTCATAAATAAATACCTACCGGCTTTTAAGAGTCTAATTTAACCGTAACCCCAATTTGTTATTGAAAATGAGTATTATGACCTGCGTTATGGAATATAATATTCATCGTTCATTCAATAAGTCTTTCATTCATTATCATAGTCGTACGCGACCGTACTCCACGCGTCTAAGCGTCGCGGATAAGCCAGAAGCCCAACACGCCATACACACTCTAATGAATATCATGTCAGTCGATAAATCTCAATATTATGAAAAATAACAGTATATTTCTTTTGCTAATTTGTTTGTATTGAAAACTAAACATTATTAAAATCTTTAATGCCATGCATTTAAAAAAATAACAGGTTGTCATTACGCAAAATCGTAGACGGGCCTCCAAGGCTAACACAGGATACCCTCGAAATAATAAATTAGTTGTATCTTATAATAAACAAAGTAGCGCATAATTCCAAAATTTTGCGAGTACAACCAACGAAGGGCCAGCTTAAACTGGCAGACGGCGGTGAAGGCATCAAAGAATCCTGCCCTCCAGCGCATAATGATGAGGGATATATATGCCTTACGATACTGCAAGCGTATCGCAGAGTCCGCTGGAATGCAACGGAACATCGGCCAACAGAATACGCAGTCGAAGTCCCAGGCACATTCAGACAGACTGCGGTACACACTCCGTCGCATACTGGCGCTTCCCGCCGCAGTAGCCTTTGGTATGCTCTACAATACCGCAGAGAAATGCGCTGCGATGCTCCGAGGTCGATCTAAAGGAATTGAATTTTTTTATTTCGGACTGAGGGTTCCATTTACCTTATTTCTTTCTATTGTTATAGCACCTAGTATATGTAGGTATTGATAAATTTAATGTTCTCTACCTTCCCATCCGCCGGTATGCGTCGATCCTAGGCTTTTTCACTTTTTTTTTTAATTTGACAAGTCAGATAAGATGACGCTATTCGACTCCTAGCTCAGTTCTGATTGCACCTAGAAAAAATCGTGAATTAGCCAGTTCTAGTCGCGAAATTTTAGAATTTAGAAGAAAAAAAAAATGTAATATATAAGAAAAATTTTAGTTCAAAAATTATAAAGGTGTTTTATTGTCCACCCTGGAATAAGCTTATTCCAGTGGCAGCATTTCTCAATCTTGAGAACTTCAACATCAAGCTTAGATCGATTATACTAAAAAAAAGTCGTGATTTAGTCGTTTCTAGTCGTAAAAAACTAGATTACTCGTTACGCCGTTTTGAAATTATTAACGTGTTTTACTGACCACGCTGGAATAAGCTTATTCCACCGACACCATTTTTTAATAAAGAAAAGCACAGCTCCTAGCTTAGATTTGATTGCACCCGGAAAGTCGAGAAATAGTCGCTCCTTTGTTAGTTACAACCGATTTTTAATGATGAGGGATATATACATATGTATATGGTAAGATTACACGTGTTTTAGTCTTGGACACGGAAGAAAGTGGTCTGTGGTCTTTTGGAGTGCATGTGCAAATTTTGCATAATATACTCTCTAGTTTTTTACGACTAGAACAAACTAAACCACGACTTTTTTTAGTGTAATCAGATCTAAGCTAGGTGTTGTGGTTCTCGAGACTCGAGATATGGTGACGCTGGAAGAAGCTTATCTTACTCTTACGCTCCAGCGTGGACAGTAAAACACCTTTGATAACTTTTGAACGGCGTTTTTTGCGACTAAAACCGACTAAATAGGGCCTTTTTCCTGGCTAGTCAAATTTCAAAAACTCGACCATGGTCACGCTGGAATAAGGCACACCGTATAAACCTATATATTTAAGCCTTTACTAAATTGGATAGCATAATACTGTGAACTGATAAAGTAAAACAAGACTTGCTTATTTATTGTTTATTATTTGGTACTGATATAATGAGTTTATTATGTACAAGTTATTCAAAAGAGCAAATCCAAAATGTCTAATAATACGCATATAAAGTCCAGAAATTGTTAAAGTATATAGATTATGTAGGCAAATACATATATACTAGAATTCACTTAATGTATTCACTACAGCATGTCGTACAGCGTACTAATCGAGTTTTTTAAACATGAGCGACGTAAAAAATCGTCAATTAGTCGGTACTCATCGCAAAAAAGTAGTTTTTACTCAGTATACCGTTTTAAACTTACTAGGGAAAGCCCTTTAAATAAAACATCTAGATTCTGCACTCTCTCTATTCTCGAATAACTACTTCCGGCGGCATTACCCTTCAACCTTTAGAACCCCAGCACGTAGCTTAGATTTAATTGTGACGAAATGTCATGGTTTAGTCGGTTTTAGTTGCAAAAGAATGCAAAATAGTCCTTTTAAAATTACGGGAGTGTTTATTGCCAAGTTGATACTAGAGGCACCATTTTGCAATCTCGAGAATCACTGCACCAAGTTTAAATCTGATTACACTCAGAAAAATTAAATAATTGCAGCCAAATTCCTAGAATTTCTCGCTAGTTTGTTTAAAGATATTATGAAATGAACGCTCTAAATTATATTTCGTTGACGGTATAAGGGGTTTACTCCACTTCTCCGTCCGAAACAATTACTGTTAATTTGGTAGAGTATTACTTATAAATAATCGACCAAATTAAAAGACGCATGACGCGAATGAAGCTTCATACTTGACATTGTCTCTTGATATGGGCGAGTATTACTATTATTGACGATAGTAATTGTTTGGAACGGAGAATGGGAGTAGATCCCTCTGTTAAGGAGGAAAAATTATATAGAGTGGACAAGTTATGGCAGTGAAACATTTTTGCGAAATTTTTTGGAAAAGATAATTGTCCAATTCACCGTCATCTATAGCTTATATTGCAGCCTTAACTTGAGGCTAAATACAGATAACTTGCGAAAGTACAGAAACCGACTATGACGCGTTTAAAGCATGAAGTGAGCAAACTATCTAAAACGGCCGCAGGCAGGAGACTGCTTGTTCCATCACACTATCTTGCATATGGCCCACGTATAGTCTTGCAGGATGGCTTGCACGCTACTACATTCATAATCCTGCATTACGCAGCGGACTGCAATGCAAGAAACGAACCCCCCTTTAAACCAACTATTTCACATAGCGTTTATATGTAAATTGAATCGTTTAAAATTTTGTTTTCCGTACTAGTCACACTTAGGGTTGGGTAATTGTCCAGGAAAAATTACTGAAAATTTGAAAAAAATATAATACGAAGATTCGTTTTCCACTAAATACATTGTTAAATGTAATTTTCTGTGTTAACGCGTGACTAAAATATGGGCACTAATACAAATAATTCTTATTGGTCGTATCAGTATGACATGCTAGTATGACCACCAATAAACGACCTTGCTTGGCTTATTTTCCCACGTTCTTATAAGTTCTTGTAATTGTTATGTTATGGCCCCGGCGAAATAACGATTCCGCTAACGTCAAGTAAAACTACTTGACTAGATAGTCATTTTTACTTGTTGTTGGCGGTTGACCTTATGGCTCAACTCACACTGGCGCAGAGGCAAAGCGTCGCGACGCGTCATGTTTTTCGCCTATAGCACATTCTTCTCTATTTTCCCAATATTAAGGTACAAATTTGTTTATGCAAATATGGAGTCAAGCGTCGACACACAGTTGCCGTCGAGCGGCTTCGCCGCGCGTTACTTGAGCGCAGTGAGGCGTCTAACGCCGACAAAACTGTGATCCAGGCGCACTAATGCGCGTCGCCAGTTGTTGTAGTTGAAAAACAGGACGCGACACGACGCTTCGACTCTATATTTTTCTGGAAATTAGGACTTTCCAAAGTGGAAAGTTTTTCCATGACGTAACACTAGTCAAAACGAATCCTTCTACCATTTATTCTTGTTATTATTAATTTTATTTAATGAGCTTTGGCTAAAAAGCTAGCTTTTGCTGGTATCAAAAATTAAGACCGTTCTCTCATTTAGTTGATTTGTTTTTTTTTTCGTATTCTTGATAATATCTTTAACCCACCGACTAAATATACTTTTTTGCGACAAGAACAGACCTAACGTTTTTTTTTTGTCTAGAAAAATTTTTAAAAACTCGAAGTCACACTTGAAATAGACACGCTGGAAACACGCTTCCCTACTCACATAACATGTGACATTACGCTTGCGTTTTCAATGTGCAGTATAGAACGCACAGAAAACAGCCTTAAAACATTTAAAGAACAAGCAGAAACGCACAAGTGTAAATACACATTAACAATAAAATGCATGCATATACAGTGTACAATTTATTGATAAAAATTACCTATTATCTTGAAACGTCCTGTATTCATGTAACCATATATACGGAGGTTACGGTTACGTTCGCCTTAAATTAAAGTATATAATTTAAGGCGAAAAAATGCATGCTGATAAGCAATAAGTTGTCAACTCACAAAAACTCGAAAATTAAGATTTTAATGCAAAATTGAAGGTTGGGGTCTCGTCGACATTTACAAACAAACTAAGTGAATTAACACCTAATATTAAAAAATGATAAAAACAGTTGGCATATCCACGACCCCTATATTATGGATATTATAAGTATTCGCAAGATGCGTTTTGCTTCCACACTTATAAGGCGAACGGCTATGGATTGGAATTCCCTGTTCAGACAGGGACTACGAAGACTACGAACGAACGAACTTGAAAAGGCCCAAGATAAACTTATTTTTTTAATAAAAAAAAATGCATTTTTTTAACGTCATGGAAGTGTAAAATCAATGTTTAGAGGATGTCGTCCACTTAAACTGTAGTGTTTACGGCTGCAATACAACTTACCTATATGTACCTAACTACAACATTGGTTTAACCATATATTTCTAGCCAGTGAATAATATACTAGCATGCGTAGCTTGAATACACTAAATACTAAATACAAAGATTAAGTGTGTACACTAAACATTTACTTTGACATCATTACCAAATCGATACGATACGAACGTCACATAGATTACTTATTAAAACGCAAATCATTATTACTAATACAATTTTGTTGCCACCATTACAATGCTGTGATATTTCTTTTTTTTCCTTCTACTTAAGAGAATATAAAATTGTATATATATGCTGAATACTATTAGGAGATCATATACCATGCATCTTATGAAACGATGTAATTTTCTTTACTGGCTACTGAAAAACTATAATTCAAACACCACATTATGAAATAGTAACAAGACATATTATTACACTGTCGATTTATTAGTACAAATTGTGTAACCACAAACTCAAGTTGTAAAGTATTGTACAATTTCAGTGTTAGAAATAAAGTTGTAGAATTTCAGTGTTACAAATAAAGGACTCTTTGATAAGAGATTTGCAAGAACTACACATGTTTGGTTGTTATTAAAATACAATGTTCTTGAATATAATTAATGTGCTACAATTAAAGGTGTGTGAAATAATCATCTGACAACTCTCCAAGGTGAAAATATATGGTACGTTATCTAAATTCTATGTTCCTGGAAACTACTTTAGTAATCTAGCATAATAATTAATTACACATTTTTCTTGCTGACGTGACGATAACAGTTCAGTATTATTTGATTCACGGATTCTCTGTAGTTCATGTTTGTTGGGTTGCAATATTTTGTTACCCCTCTATTCTGTGTTCGGATACTTGACTTTCGGATCGACTAACCAATTTGTATATAATGTTGCTAAATTCAGTACGAATCCCAATACGCGCAACGAAATACAAGAGTTACTACTGTATTATTATAGATATTTTGGTCTTTCAAATTATACCCATGGTTACTTTTGCGATTTACACAATAGGGCAAGCAATATTTCATAAAAACTGACAAATTTTGTCCCAAAGGAAGGAATCATTTAAATTTAGCATACATTTTTCATATTCCTAAAATTTTTCTTATTCAAGAACACTCCATTACCCACTAAACATAACATGAACTTACCTCACCCACCAGATAGGAATCCGAAAAACAAATAACAAAGGCCTGCCCTAATCCGCGCTACGGGGAGAGCGCTCTTGCGCGTCGCCATTTTGTCGAGGCGATGCTGAACGGGAGCGGGAGCCCGAACGCTCGCGCGAGGCGCTGCGCCCACCGCTGCGAGAGCGAGAGCGAGAACGCGAACGCGACTTGCTGACGTGACGCTCGTCCTCGCGCTTAGGGGATGCCTCCTTGCTTCGAGAACGTGATCTCTCCCTGTATACGTACAAACACATTAATCAACATCATATTTGAAAGTCGGTATGGAAAACTGAATTTGCAAATGAAGATATTAACAGTAATGAAAGTGGGTGAGTCTGGTCTATCTTGCTCTTTATTAACACACAACACAAGCACTTATCACATTCGTAAGCTCAAGGAATCCAAAAGCAATATTTACAGTAATTACACACCGAGATTACAAAGTTTGGCAAAATGCTCGATATGCAACTTGGGTGTTAAATCCATGTGCCATTCAATTTATTTGTGCTACACACTCGAAAGCATATAAATAAAATATTTTAAATAGAATTACCAGAATACATTAATGTAGCATAATTAAGTATCTACTAACATTTAGTTAGCACATGATTTTGTGCCTCAACACTATGTAACCGGAAAAAATATCTTTACCAGATTAATGTAAAATATTATTCTCATAGTATGGCAATAAATCATGAAACCAATATACATAATCATTATTATTAACTACAAACTAAGATTACGTATATGTCATACAATTTTTGTCTCACCTCGTCAAAGCGGGCTCTCTTCTTTCGAGGAAAACAGACGTCGAGTTAAAATTATTGGTAATGAGTTGTGCCATCAATAACTTTCACATGATAAATTTTGTTAAAAAATTAATGGATGCCAATGAGAACAGTGTCGAAATGTGGTATCTGACTAAGGTGCCGAATATAACACCAAGATGCTTTTCGAAAATAATATAATTAAGTTGATGCTTCATAATTAATACACATACTAACCCATTTAGAGATACATAATTTACTGGCAAAAGCGCATGGAAAAACATCTTGACAAATGCCAAGCACAGTGGTCAGATCGATTGAAAGCACACGTGACTTACTTGGACTCTTGCGGCGAGCGGGATTTAGACCTGGACTTAGAGCGAGAAGCAGAGCGGTGTCCATTGCGGTCAGCGGATTTGCGCGACGCCGACCGTTCCCTGCGTGAATGATTGGAGGCCGATCTCGAACGGGACTTGGAACGGCTGCGATCCCTACGCGACGTGGATAACGCACGCCACAAAACGGTAGTATATTTGTTTAGTTACATATAGGTACATCTAATAGACTTAATAACAAAAATTGCAATCGTGACATGATTACAATTTCTGTACACCCATAAATCACGAAAGTGACGAATCAAAGAAAATGCAGCATGTGAAGCATATTCAAATTACTAAAATTAAAATTTACTCACGAAACTCGTCAAAATTCGTCACTAATGCAATCAGGAAAGAGAAGTTACTAAATTGAAAGAGGGCACTACTGTAATAATACTTACAATAAAAACCTACTAAGAAGAGCAGTTTAGCTAAGTACTTACATTTTCAAATTTTGCTCAGCGCAAGAAATTACACACCTAGCCAAATGAAATTAGGTTAATTTTTTATAATTTCATGCAATAAATAAAATTAGTATACCGAAACTAAATTGTGATATTATATCAAATAAAATAACATGCAAGCAAGAAAGAATACTTTAAGCGATAAGTAGAATATAGCAGACTTTTTAGTGATGACAACATTAAACAAGTACCACACCCAGACCCTTTTAGAAGTCAACCAAATCGTATACTAGAAAATGTGATTCGTGACTGAACGGAATAAAGAATTCACTAAAAAGTTTGCTAAAGTGTATGAAACAAGTATACTTACTTGGAACGAGAGCGCGAGCGCGATTTGGGCGCCAAGCTCTTGCTCTTAGGGCGCGACTTCGAACGTGAACGGCTTCGCGACGAATGTCGGGACCTGCGGCCCAGACATTTCAATGTACACACTGCCATATTTACAAATAAAAGCATAAACTAGTTCTTCAACAAATGAAAAAAAAGTCAATACTTCCTCGGAGCCCTTAAATAAAAATGGTAAAATCTAATCTACTTCCTTCCAAATGGGAGGAATCTTAAACACGAACGATTCATTCACATTTATTTACTACATTTATTTATCTCGTGAGTTTGGGTCTAATTTGTGGTTGTCTATGTGTGTCCATTGCACCCGCGACACAGGGTTTCCCTAGTGCGAGGTTATGTTGAGTGTATGCGTTATTATTTATTATTATTATCTGTGGTGTAGACTACTCTGTTGAGTGTGTGAGTTATTATTTAAAATAAATTAGCATTTAGAGGAGTCTTGTCTAAACTATCATTTTGTTATCCGAATAATTTGAAACCGTGATTGTGTAAAATCCTAATTGGTGTGCAAAATCAGAGAAATTACCTAGAACGGCTGCGGCGTCGGTCGCGAGAGCGGCTGCGTGAGCGGCTCGAAGATGAGCGCGAGCGACGACGCGATGACCGGCGATCTTCGACTAGTCGGACGCGCCGTCCGTTCAATTCCGTGCCGTCTAGCTTCTCAATTGCCGCACGCATGTCCGAATGGGTTGCAAACTCGACAACACTGAATAAGTATTATTATCTTAGACTTGACATTTTTACTCTTATCTTGAGGGTAACTTAAATGAAAACAACGCCCAAAACTTGACAGGGTTATAACTTTGCAAAAAATTTCATGCACCAGACAATAAGCCTACGTATGTGTATGTGCATTAAGTGAGAACGCTCTGAAGAACCTTTATAAAATATTATCACTTAGTAAAGTTCTAAAACAATTGAAGAAAACTAAAAAAAATGTACAAAAAAATATTCATAGAAATGTTTTTACATAAAAAATTATGAGGAGTACAATGTCTAGGACAGACCGATGTGGGCATAATGTAATAGACTATAGTCTGTTCCAATCCATTTTTAACAAAAAGTAAACAAAACTGTTTATTAAAATTCTAAAGCATCGCCCATCCCTAGCAACTCATCAGGCAAATAAAATATCACTTTTAAATATCAACTCTCGTCTGCGCTGAAATCACAAATTAGAATGCTGAACTAGTACAACTGACCTGTGTGTACGTCTCCGTATATTTCAACAATGTTCCGTATTTATTGTAATAAAATTTTAGCCACAAGATTAATAAAAATTTGTATTTTACAAAATCATTTATAACTTTTACTAAAACTAGACATAAATGAAATTTAATTCTATAAGTTGGTTCATAGGAAATCGTTCCTTTTGTGTGCGTATTGAGCGAGCATAAGTATTTGTAAAAATTTTAAAAAGGCAATAAACGACCTGTAATTAAATTAAAGACGATAGTTATTTTAACAAAACTACTAAAAACCTGTACACTAATATTACATACAAACTTAATATTTTATAGATCTTGCTGGCCCTCTGTGAGCATACACTAAGTTATTTATCTTTTATCTTTTTAAAGAAAGATCGGTTTACACATTGATTTACAACTTCTACTAAATAACTAATATTTTATAAATGTTCGTCAGAGGGTGCTCACTCAATACACACACACACACACACACATATAATCCAGTAGTCATGGGTTTTCATAAGGACCCCACAGCTATAAATGACATCTCATCGAGCAGTCATGTTCTTTAACTAAGAGAGCGAAATAATCAAAGTCTCCAAGGGTTGATTAAAGGGATGATATATGCTTTTACATTGAAATGTTTTTCATCAGTCATTAGTTCTCTCTCAACAATGAATCATTATTTATCTTTGCAAACGTTTCCTTACCCCTCATTACGATGTTGCTTATGAGCGTCAGCATAGGTTACTTCTCCTGCTTGACGCATGTAGTCCTTCAGATCCTGTAGATCAACAAAACATGTCAACATTCGGTAAGCAAAAACTAATGAAGGCTTTTCCAAAAGTCAAGAATGCGCAAATACTGTACTGATAAGTTATTATTCTAAATCTTAAAAATAACGCAAGCATGCAAAGAATAAGACTTTGGGAAAAGCAATGAATCCGCTGTTCAATACCTAGGACCTAAGTTATGTACAAACTGAGACAAAGAAATGACTTCGTGAACTAACTCGGAAGCGTTACTTATGCATGCCCCAAAAGCAGCAATTTCGCATCGGTTACACTTAAGTTATCAAAGTTTACGCATTCCGTTCTAATTTTATTGAGATCCGCCTTCGTCAGTGGTCAGACTTCTCAGCTGTGAGGCGCCAGTTTTGTCTTCGATCTGATATTCAGTTTGTCATTCCTCAAAGGTGTCATGGCATCACATCTCCTCTAAAGGCTCCTCAAGTCTGCTGTAACCATTAGCATTCAGTTCATTACTGTCTCATATCTTATGTCCTGACATTGGTGGGTGTTGCTGTTGCTCCAGTCCTTTTTGTTCTACTGTTATCCAGTGCTTTCATCCAGCTTTTCTAAATTGTATGTAAACGTAAACAATGATACCTCATAGGAAATGCCCAATACGAAATGCTGCATAGGCAATTATATAAATAAATGTATCAAAAAAGAACCTTTCGATGACTGCCATTCACAATAGCAATTTAAAAAATTAAAAGCAACTTTATATAAATAGTTGTTATCAGACTATTCAGATTAATCAAATAAGCAGAATTCCTATTGTGAATGTAATGAGTGTAGTTCTTAAACTATGAGAATGCATCAAAATGGGAGATTGCACATAACGAAATCGGCTCCTGTTGTCTGTGCCCCCCGTTGGCGACTTTACCTTGGCGGAGGCACCACCGAGGGGGCTGAGTCCGGCTGCGAGGACGGGACGAGGGGGGCTGACGTCAACACCACATCACCAGGCTGCACCGGGACCGAAATCCTCCTAACATCGGCTCAGACCACATCTCACACAGCGTTACATCGAGGGCTCTGGGCACGAATCGCCAACCTTCTGTTGTTTTTAAAAATTATCTATAAGCTCGTAAGTAATTTTGTAATATATAAAATACGATTAAACTGTTATGATGGAGGTTAAAAAAAGACTAGCTTTCAAGAGTTGGTATCTTCATAGTTGTCATATAAATTTGTAAGTAAGCAATGGCTATGTCGTTGCAATAATGCGTCTAACGGTAATAAAAAATGTTATATGTTCATTGTATATGAACAAAATTATGAACACCAACATAAATAACTTTATGCTGGAAAACTTATGCATTCACCTGCCAGTGTTTGGTATACTGTAGAACTTGAAATAATCATTATAATAAGTAAGGCAAAGGCAGACAGTCGTAGCCTGCATCAGCACCGAGGCAGAGTCCAACTTTGGGTCGCGTCTAGTGATTTAAAATCAATTTACTTTTATGTAAAAGCCCCCAAAATCAGACATATGATTTAGGTACACAACCACTGATACGGCAGGTTGATTATAGTAAAGTGGGAAGTTGTGCTATATAGCTCAATTTAGCTTAATTAGTAATTTTAACTTGAATAAAGAATAACTTATTTTATTCGCTACCCAGTTTTTTTCCAAATACTAAATTTAAAAAAAATGTTCTCATCATTAGAATACAATGCCCAACTCTGGCCAGTTTAAACAATTTATGAGTTATGCAGAAATCCATTGTGCTAAACTAATATATAAACAAAGAAAATGTATCTACTGTTATAACTTTTTGTTTATGATCTTTAGAAAGAAATGGAGAGCTCTCGGATTTATGAAGATGTTTCATATAGTATCTCCCAAGGATTGGTTGGTTTGGTTGTCTCAATATTTCGCCTTTCGTCTCTGTGGTCAACAAGTTTTGATTTCGGAGTCGCCGCTGCCTCTTTTCAAACATCCATTCAAGAATCTCATCATTATATATACCATGCCAAAAGTCTTCGTTTTCTATAAGTTTTCTTCGTTCGTCAAGTAACATCGGATCCTTTCTCTTTTGCCTTCATTGTTTCATACTCCACTCCATAGTGTAAATTTCTCTATTGCCACGAGATGCCAATTGAGGTTTGATATATAGTTGTATATCCTCTTCTTATAACGAGCCCGTGACGTGTTCCAAATCGAAAATGATTGCCCATACCGTCAAAGCCAAGGTGATGATGACAGTCCGCCCAGCCCTCGATCAAACGTGAAGCTCATGTCCAGGACCCTGAGTGACAGGTGATGGAATGATGATGGCCCCAAATCACTCCAGTTCTATTCTTACCTGCCAGCTTATGCGGCTAGACAGATTTTCGACGATCAGCCGATAATCCGTTCTCGTCGGCGGACCATATCTATAGCTGTAGTCTCTGTGGAAACAAAACAACATTTCAGATAGGTATACATACTTTAAAACTGTAATCAGTAAGTTTTACAGTCTAATATGAAAAACATACGATAAATATATGTGCATATAGTTAATACGCATATGTTGTTACTGTTAACTGTCATTTAAATACCTACATTCTTTTATAACATCCTTTACTGTACTTACAGGTTAAAATATATTTACATAACAATTTTACCACTAATATTACAAGTTACACAAAATAGTGTTTTCTTAAATTTTTACACAAACATGTTTATAATTAATAATATTTGTTCGAGAAATAGACATTTCAATAACAGAACAGTTTGTATGGTATGGTGGTAGTCTTGTATAGAGTATTAACTGCTTAGAGTGTAGTTCACAGCCAAACAATACGTAATAAATTTAGGGAAAGCTGGGAGGTTAAATAAACCATAAAAATATATTAACTATAAAATCAGTCATAACATGCATGGTACAATAACTACATTCTACCTTACAATCTAATTTAAAAATAGTAAGTGTTTCTTATACTAGTATCTACTTGGGAAAAAAACATAACAAAAACTCAAGTATTTATAGGCACAAGGGGTCACCTAGGAACACAGAACACTTAAGTTGATAGAAATGGTAAGATAGCTCGATAATGTTACGCAGGATTAATCTCATAGAAATCTAAATAAATAGGCAATAGAAGTCGCAAACCTACGGTAATATTGTCACCGCACCAAACCAATCGGAAGGGTTTTGTTCGAATATTGCAGTTGAGAGCTAGTGATGTCAATTACATACTTTTTGTTTTGATATTATCCGCATATTCCCCGTAATCGCCACTAGCTTTGTTCCCACTGGCGACAAGTGGGGAAAAAAAATCCCATATGTTGCCAGGTGGTGATAAACGGGATAAAAAAGTCTCAGTTGTTACCAGTGGTGTTTTCCAGTAGCGACAAATGGGGAAAAAATCCAATATGTAACCAGGTGGCGACAAACGGGATAAAAAAAGTCTCAGTTGTTACCAGTGGTAATTTGTAGTGGCGAGAAATGGGAAAAAAATCCCATGTTACCAGGTGGTGACAAACGGGTGAAAAAAATCTGTTGTTACCAGTGGTAATTTGTAGTGGCAACAAATGGGAAAACAAATCCCATGTTACCAGGTGGTGACAAACGGGATAAAAAAATCTCAGTTGTTGCCGGTGGTGACTTCCACCGGTGACAAATGGGAAAAAAGACCAATATGTTACCAGGTGGTGACAAATGGGATAAAAAAATCTGTTGTTGCCACTGGCGACAAATGGAATTTAAAATGTCCCAGTAGTTGCCAGTGGTAAAAATAAAACAAATGGAATACAAATTCCAATTTTTGTTTGTTTATTGCCGCCATCGAAAGGGTATAAAATAAAATTCGAGTTTAATGATAAAAGTATAGATCTTATTAAAAAAAATCAGTCTTAAACATCAGATATTTCCAATACCGTACGATAATTCTAAGGTCGGCAGAAAAAGCACATAAGTCAAAAAATGGTTTATTTGTTAATATATAATTATATATTTTTTGTGTTGGAAGTTAAATAACATCTAGAATAAAGTTAGAAATTTATGAAGTAACAAATGCATTTTTAAATTCTATTATTCCCCTTCGACGGCGGCAATAAACAAACATAAATTAGAATGTCTTATTCCATCAGACAACAGATCTTTTTATCCCATTTGTCACCACCTGGTAACATATGGGATTTTTTTTTTTTCAAATTTTTGTAGCCACTAGAAATCACCACTGGTAACAACCGAGACTTTTTATTCCGTTAGTCACCACCTGGCAACATATGGGATTTTTTTCCCACTTGTCGCCAGTCGGAACAAAGCCAGTGGTGACAACTGGGAATAAGCGATATTATCGACAAACGTTTTGTGCGTACCACAAATTACGTATATTGTCTTATCTACCATTGTTATAATACTGCACAAAAAAATTATGTCGGTAATTTATCAATACGTAAGTGTTTAAACAATACGTTTTAGAACACTGATAAACCTAAATACGTGTCAAAGTTCAAGTGAATTACATAATTTACGTTCCATGCGTATTTTTAATACAATGTCAGGGAAATTTACGTAAATATGTTTTGTTTTTAGTTTCCCCAAATGTATATCGGGTTGTCTTGACAACTCTTGATATATTAAAAACAACAGGCAAAAGGAACTGGTTTCTTACAAGCTATGGTAGAATTCGTTCAGGACATTCTAATGAAGATAACTTTAACCTTACAAAGAAAATAAATATTTTATTATACATCTTTAAACAAAGACATTTTTTTTTAAATCATCAACCAAGTCTTATCATTAACGGTCATGAAAAACGATATGTCAAGTGCCGACCATAGACAATTATGTGGCGATACGAGTTTTCCAAGAAATAAGCGTTGTTTACACTTCTCGTGCCTATTTATTTAGATTTCTGTGATTAATAATACTCATCTTGCGGTCATAAATCATCAACTCAACATTCCGTAGTTACAACTATTTACCTACACTAAATGTTTTACTTACAATTTCAAAGCGTGTCAGAATTTTAAATAATTGCAATGTACAAAATAAACAGACTAAATATTTAAAGTAATAATTTTTTAAATTATTTCAAAAGAAAATATGTAGTAAAAGCCATGAGTAATAAATATAAGACAATTTTTTTTCTTTTGTATTTGTGGTGGGACGAACTGGTCCTGCGCCGTTGTCTTTTTAGTTATAAAAGTCCCCAAATATGTACAGCTTGCTTTAGAATCTATACTCATTTAATGTAGTGGCAAACTTTTTGTATATACAAACTTGATTCGTTTTTTATCATTTATATACAGGGTGTAACCGAAAGGAGCAGTGGAAATGCAAGATCGTAGAGAGTTACTATCAAATAGTAAAATGGCATTGATTTTTGTTGAAAATTATTACTAATGAAATTAATTTTATTTTATAAAATTACGAAAATTCGTCGATATCGGTGCTAAAATCGTACTTTTACATCACTAACCTCACACGACTTACTTTGAAGTTAGAAAACGGCGGAAAAATTTAATTATCAATTTATTTTTATATAAAAATGGTAAAGTATTTTATAATTAAAAACATATTTATTACAATAAGATTCAATACCCACAGTTTTGTTTTTGACTTCCACATCTTGTATTCAACAATTTAGGAATAATCTTAGTAATGGCATTTCTCAAGTAATTTAGAATATTATGAAACGATACTGTACGTCGGCGCAGCGGACGGAAGCTTAGACCAAGCCCGATAGCTCTACCGTGAGACATTTATCGATGGTAGACCAGAAGCTGAACGCCGTCGACTTCCTTCGAGAGCCTGCTTTCGGAATATTGTTTTGAGGCTTCAAACTACTGTCTCATTCCGGGGTGATAAGGCCAGAAGGAATCAGAAATAATCCGCGGACCAGTACTCGCCGAATAGCTGCAGCTCTTGGGATTGCAAACCATATGCACACAAAACGAATTAAATAAAAAACTAAGTTAGAAGCACGCTTTTCATAAAATGTATTTATGTGTTTACTTTGAATTATAATTTTTTTCTTTGTGAATCTTTATTTCATTTATGAAAATCTTAACTGTTGACATAATAAAAAGGTATTTTAGTGAGAAGCCATATTGTAAAAGGTTATGTATACTCTGATCGTGTTTTAGTAGTAGTGAAAACTGATAACTGTCATTTCGTATACTTTGATCACGATATCAGTTGCACCTGCCCAATCGCTGTACGATTTGTAGTAACTGATCGCGCGATTCGATTCAACTGAAAATATATTTCAAATAGTTTCCCAACAGATCACAATATTTTTGTAATTGTTTTATTGTTGGTGCTTTGAAACAATTTACAAAACAAGACTTATGAAACAATTTAAACTAATCAACGTATAACTTCGTTGATTAGTTTAAATTTAAATACTTATTTGTTTAGATCACGAATAAACTTTTATTAATAATTATGCCAAACTGTTTACAAATTTGCAACAAAATATGTAAGCAAATTTTTTTTTAATGAGATTAATATAATTTGTTCAATTTGTCATTTTTTTTAAATTATTCCAAAGCAAAGAAATGAAAACGTATTGAAAAATATTTCGATTTGTTGGGAAACTACTTGAAATATTTTTTCAGTTGAATCAAATCCCGCAAACGGTTGCAACAAATCGTACGCCAATTAAACAAGTGAAACAGATATCGTGGTTAAAGTATACAATTGAAGGTTATCCATGCTACCAACCGATCACGTGATCAGAGTATACATACCCTTATAAAGTATGTATCTAATAATAACAGCATTGTTATAAACTAAGAAAATCACAAAATAATGATCAATGAGACATTATTGAGTTAGGCTGATGATATTGTTTTGTGAGACACTTTTTTTTTGTTACGAAACCATAATCAATGACATATGAAGTAAAATTGTGACAATGACATTGTCAAATTATTGCAAAATAAACAAACTAAATGTCAGATTCCATCCCTCGTCCCACAAATTTTTATAGTATTCTTTCCCCCTTTAAACCTACTCTACTCTTTTTTCCCCCTTAAACCTACTCTACTATTTATTCTATTTAAAGATGTTGAACAAAATAACATACGTTTATAACATTTATTATGTGTCCAGCATGTTTTTATGTTTTGTAAAGTAAAATAGTAATTAGTCAAATAACCTCGTGTTTTGTCTTTCTCCATAGGATGATGCAACCGATCATCGTCGCTTGAGTGCGTTCCTGGCAATCTTGATATAAACCGTGTATCTTTCAACCAGGACACTGGCAGAATTGTCCTCAGTGGGACAGAAGCCAAAACAAAAAAAAACTAAATGTCCGTATGTTTAACCTAAAAGAGTTTAAACTAAAAGAACGTACATTAATTTAGAAGAATGAATTTCAGCACTGAATCTTATAATTCTACTAATTTTAAGTACAAATAAAATAATAACTAGTGCTATGTAAATAACGAATAATTCCTAGCACCTTTCACAGTTCATGCTGTTAAACATCGTTTGTTTCCTAGGCTGTTTTACAGTGATTCTACGAAATCAAATTAAAATCTGTTGATCAGTGTTTTCAACAGTAAAATACGCTATAATATTTGTGACAAGTGCTCAGAAGTAGAAGTTTTGTAAATAACTAAATAACAAATTCTATTACATCACCTATTTTCAACAACTTCAAAGCAAGTGATTGTGTGACGTTAGAGATGTTCAAGCTCGATTTAAATATCGATAACGACGAATTATCGTAATTTTAAAAAATGAAATTAATTTAATTAGACAAAATATTCAATAAAAATATCAGTATCAGGGCCAATTTGTTATTTGAAAGTTACTCTCTAGGTCCTTGAATTTGCACTGCACCCTTCGGTTACACCCTATATAAATACGTTGCACCAAAATTTTATGTTACAGCTAAATACCATTTCTATTTGTCAAGAACACATGTTTTCTTATGTGCTCTGTGGTAAGGAAGTACACACACAAAAAAAGATACATGACCAAAATACGCAAAAACTTTGTGTATGAATACGTTTATCAATTTTTTTGATATCTATAGCAGGGTTGTTGCTAATCCAGGGTTTTTACACATCAGCAGATGCGGATGCTGATTTTTTAACCTTAACATCAACAGATGCAGATGCTGATTTAGTCTATTTAAAGAAATCGCGAATAATGTACAGATCCTTGTTGAATCTAATAAAAAAGCTATTTAATGATTTTGATTTTTGAAACTATTTTATGACATTTACTAACAAGAAAATCAACATGCATAAAAATAATTGATCATACTGGAATATTATCATAGAACGACTGTTTCCGAATAGTTTGTAAATTATTTCAGCGTGTCGTAGCCGACCCTTTAGGTAATGTCACGACTCGAATATCCGTAATGAATATAAGCATCGATAATGCGGAGGCTGATGCGGATGCCGGTGCTGATATTCGCAACAACCCTAATCTATAGGTACTTGAATATCATAGTATCTTGAAAAAATAACGATAGGTTTTAATTTTTTCTCTCAAACAAGTGAAAAGGGAGTGCAGTGTACATTTGTTGAGTTGCATATATTGGCCTCATGTGTATGATACAGACGGATCGCGTCTCGGCGGCGGGCGTCGCGGCTGCGGCACCGGCTGGTCCCGGCAGCGCCACCGGTCGGAGCCCCGCGGCATGCCGCGCGCCCTCTCCACCGACACCCTACAACATAGCGACACTCACTCGTATCGCGACCGGCCGCGGTCGCGCTCGTAGTAGCGGTCGCGACGGTAGCGGTCTGCGCTGCGGTCGATGCCTCGGGCCGGCTCCACCACCACCCTGCGACACCCGTTCGTTACTGTTAGCAGCGCCCACCCCTTCTAAACTCCCTCTCCACACCTCGCTTCACACCCACACATCACATAACAATACATGAACAATATTCAAATATTCTATATATTATCTATTCTAAGACACGACACATAATCAAGGAAAAGTTTATTCATGACTTTCATAACCATGTAAATCTTTGGGATTGTTCTCTTGTTGAGAAAACAAATGTTCCAGTCCTGTTTGAAGTTCAGGGACATTTCTTATCAAATGGAATTTATATTTAAAACATCTTTGGGTTTGTTGTAAAATTAAATTTCAAAATTTTGCCAACTCACACCATCACCACTAAAAATCATCTCCTTTCAAATCTCACAAATATGTGGAGCCGGCTGATGAAAAAATATTTGACAAATTGAAACACAAGTGGAGTATCAATTTTGTCTTTTAACTTAGTGCAATTATGTTGCTGCATGGTTCAGTATATTAATGCCATTCAATAACATCTACCTCCATATGGGTCACAATATTATTTCTAGAACATGGTATGTGGAAACAGCCTGGTCTCAAATGTTTTAATTTGTGGATCAGTATTTAATTTTGATTATTTTATTTGTACCAGTGCATTTTCCACTGTATTTTAAGATAAACCTTACCTTTCCCCTAAGAGTTCTTTTCCATTCAACTCATACACAGCATCATCGGCGTCTCGATAATCTTCGAATTCCTGAAAATTACAAAAATGTCAAGAAAGTGTGATTTCATTCTCTCAATTTTGTACACAATTCAGTAACCAAAATTCGCAACGATAGTATGCATTTACGCAACAGCATATTAAAGGTGTTGGCGTAAAACAACAATTCAATATAGGCATCTGTCACCCAAGCATTGTAACCCTACAGCGAAATAATACACTTTGAAATAACAATACCTATATACTTTGAAACTATTCTATAGTTGTTAAACTATTATAAAAGTGAAAATAAATTCAATATGCAAGAGTCCCAGTTAGTATTTTATTTCCATAACATAAATTAATTAAATTATTACAATTCCAATCTAAAATGGTATGTCAGACCAGAAATCATTATACGCAGTGTATATTTACAGAAACTTCTGATATTCCAGAAAGATTAACTATTAAAAAAGAATTTCATGATTTTTCTTACAAATGTACTACTGCACTAAATTCATTGCTCATACTTATCAAAAATATAGAACAAAGCACTATGTAATAATTCCTTGCTATTACCCACTCTACATGTATTCTTCATTAAGTTTAGGTGAATGTACTCTGCCTGTTCACTTTTCTGGTATTAATATTTTGAAAGTAGACTACTTGTCCATAGAATTAATTAATCTAATCCATTCCTACAGATTTCTTTTTTCAATTGCGTGTTTACTACGTTCAGCAGCTATTGTAATGATTTTTTATAAATGATGTAGGGCCAAGCGCATATGAAGCTTGATAGTTAAGATTTACTCTATGCTGTTTAAACTAAGTACAGTCCATAGTGTGAAACTTGACATGTCTTTTGACAAGAATCACTTTAAGTATTAGCAACATTGACTTACAATTATATGGACGTCGGGTCCGCGCTAAAGTGTCCGCACTTGTAAGGCGCTAAAATCGTATACAGAGCGCGACACTCCGCTTTAGTCTTCATTTGTTCTACGGACAGCGCGATACTGCGATGACATAACAATTTAAATTTAGAATAGGTTGACTTGGGACATTTTTTTCGTGGTTTTTGTATTAGACCCGTCGTCCATTTATTTGTAAGTCAATGATTAGCAAGCATAAAAAAATCTTACAATTGGCAAGAAAAATTCGCTTTGCATAAAAAATAATATTTTTTTGAAAATGGAAAATAAAATTTAAGTTATTTCTAAATTGCAAATACTTTAGCATAAAAATGACAGTTTACAGAATATTTTATTGTAAAAAATAGTAGCAACAATTGTTTTGTCAATGTTTTTGTGTTATGAAATACAGGTATATATCACAATTAATGAAACTAGACAAAGAATTTAGAAAAGTACAATAATATAGAATACATTAAAGCAACACTCGCATAAGATATCAAGATTTTAGTAATTTCTTCTACACTTAAGTGTGTATGTAATGACAATCTGAACAAGGGATGGTTTCGCACTTTGCTTAGAGAAACGTCTGGGCTATGTCACCACATTAGTATATGAATAATGCAGATTTGTTTAACAGAGTAAATGATTATGGAACAGATTCCATAGGAGGTAATATTATTTATATTAATTCGTAATAAATAATTAATAGTGAAATTACCACAAATCCATATCCATTCTTGATCAATATGTCTCTAATCCTTCCGAAGCCCTTGAAAAACTTCTCTAGATCTCTGTCTCTAACCCCAAATGGAAGACCGCCGACATACACTCTAGATCCCACCATCTTCGTATCTGCGATAATAAAAGCGTGCGCTTTAATATACTTATTGCGTAGCGAGTTTCGTAACACCGTTGTCGAACACGCTGCAGGCATGTGTACACAGCGTCCACCGGGATGTTGATTAAGATGGCTGCGATTGGGTCACCATACATAGGTTTTACCTTCATTCTTATATTTATATTTATCTCGATACGATAACATTGTCTCAGGTAATAAAATAAGTAGGTACCTACCCAACACAAAGCTGAGGTTACAAGATTATCTCTCGGAGCTAAGGTCACTTTGGATAAAACACAAACCAGGACCAAAATAACGGCGTATGGTTCGATTAAAATTTACTGCTAGTGCATCAAGTGACATGCACTATTAATAATTTACTATTGCAGTATAAAACCTCAAGAAAATTCTAGACTGCATCAAGCCGAGCGCTTGAAACAACATGGCGGCTTGCAAAATGGTAACTCAACATGAGGCAATAATGATACCAAGAACATAACTCACCTACAACGTGTAGACTTGTAACTATTAAATCGGCACAGAGAAATACGTATTTACTTGAATTACACAGTCAACGCAAATATGCTACACAATCTTTAAAATGAGCACGCGGTCGCATTCAACTCTCTTTCCTCGTCAATGGTGGTCAATGGAAAACGGACCGGAAACAAAGTGCGAAAAGCATTAATTAAAAAAAAAAACCAACGCCATAGTGTCGTCCTTTCATACGTTTGAGGAAAATGTCGATTTTTAATAAAGTGAACTACTTTCATACAACACAATGAAAAAATGAAAGAAAAACATACTGTCTACTATACACAGCATAAGTAAACAGCAATACATGTAGGGTTATTCATTATATAGTATATAGAATAATTATATAATTATTAATTAACTGATATGACACATAGGATCGCTGAGCTGGCGTAATAAGCAAGTTTAAGTAGTAGCACTGCAGTTGCACCAATAAGTAATACAATCTTACGCGTAAACTAAGGCGACAGCATAGTCTATTAAACCGGTAATGGTGCAAAAAGGCACATCACTAGAGTTAGTATCACACCCATTACGATTCACTCTGGGCATTTTGGCGGGAAAAGTGTCGTTCTTATTTTGACTTTCAATTATTTTGTGAAATCTGGTTTAAAGTGGAATAGGATAGTGCTATTGTACCTTAATCGAAGATTAAAACGCGAAAGTATACGAATCTCGAAGTAAAATACTCGTATCGGCCCGTTCTAAGGAATCCCGAGTCAATCCAACCACGCCGCCTCAAATTGCCTATCCTCTTTGTGGCGGCCATATTTACAGAAACAATTAAACTTCATGTTTAGACTAATGGCTTTGCCAAAGCCTTAATAAATTTAAAAAAAATCACTCCCATTACAAATAAATAATGTTGCTACTTTAAAAAAATTGCGGGTTCCGTTTTACAAAAATGCACGGACTTGGAAATTGTTTATATATTTTTTGTTTTTTTCCATTGGAATCGGCAAAGGCACTAATGCGCCATACAGCCAAGACCAAACTCGAACACACGCCGCAGGCATAGCCCGACTCGTAAAAGTACCTAAAGACACAAAACAAGAAAGATATTATAAGTTGTAGGCAAAGAGTAAAGTAATACAGGAGAATAGAAGAAGGTAGGAAGGAATAATAGAAGGTAGTAGGGGTATAAAAAGGTAGTAGGAAATAATTAATTATGAAACTCAAAACGTAACACAACGATATCTACGACTACGTAACGTAATAGTTCTACTAACAATTAATTTGTAAAAAAATTGTAACAAAAAAATCTACAAAATTCAATTGTCATTGTCATTAATGAGTTTTTTTTGTTTTAGTTTTTCAGAGGTTTTCACTTAGAGGATGGCAAAATAAAGGACGGTTTTCATGACAATTAAAAATTATTTTCTTGATAACCTCCGGTTTCCATAGTATGTCTTGTCTAACTTGGTTTAACGCAAAGAGTACGTACATACTATAAATACCTATATATTATAATTAAACCTGTGTCGGTCGATCAATTCTGATAACCCGGGTCTGTCGTGACCCATGACAAATGTAATCGGGTTAAATGATTCGATCATATAATCGATCTTTCAGCGGGTTACGCTCCGGCCGGTCTTATTCTTTTTTTTTTTACTCGCTAGGTGAAAGGAAACATTATTTATAAGTTTAGTTTCTATTCTCAATTCGTAGAAACAATCTGATTTTCTGAGTTTATTACTTATTTAGGTACTGAAATCTAAGAGTCAGACAGAAATACGTCATTACCTAATAATAAATAATATTTACTCACCGTGCAGACGATTACCCTAATAGTGCGTCGTACTGTGTATACCCTTACAACATGCTGTATACCATTAATAGTATTCTTAAAATTCAAAATAAATGACCTAACGCAGTAATTTATTTTCATTTAAAATCATTTGATTTTAAAGTTAAGACAATAAAGCCACGGAAACTGAAGTACGGTGTTTACAAACACTCATCACAACATTAATAAATATGAAACATAATAAAATATATTTAATAAAACAATGAATCATACTCTTTTCAAAAACTTTTTCAAATACCAGTACAGCTATTTAACGCAGACTAGAGTTAGAAGGAAATTACACTCAAAAATATGAATTACAACACAGGAACACACCGAAAAACCAACTAAACAAACTTACAAAATTACTATGTAGCGTACGAGATAGTTAGGATAGGATGATTGATGAAAGACTCGTTGGTCCATTAACCCGTCCGTGATTGGTTGAATTTTTTATTCGATAATCGCAACTCGACGACAAAGCGCCTATTTTGCGTGTGGTGGGTGCAGGGTCCTACTCGTGCCACCCAAGCTCCTCCAGAAATCTCAGCAGTCTCCTTGGTTTGCTGAAGACTTCGGGGAGCGACCTTGGCACTTCAAGGTATTTTGCCCTGTAGTTGGTCACGCCGGAACACTGAAGTAGGATGTGCGCAGCCGTTTCCTCCCTCTCCATGCACGCTCTGCATAGAGGCCTGTCTGTGATATCTAAATTGAAAAGGTGTTTATTGTATGGACCATGACCCGTTAGGGCGGCAGTTAGAGTGCGAAGCTCTTGCCTTTTAAGTTTAATTAGTATTCGAGATAGACTGGCATTGAGCGTTGGGAGTGCTTCCCTCGCCTGTCTACAAACCGTAAGGGTGGTCCATGTATTATTATGTGAAGATTTTGTACCTTTGTGTATAGTTGTTCTGGACCATTGGCAGGGGAGGGACACTATCGGTTCTGGTCCTACAGCGTCCGTCTCCGACCCTTTCCTGGCTAGTTCATCTGCTGCGTCGTTGCCACGTGAGCCGCTGTGTCCTTTAATCCACTGAAGAGTTACGTGGTTTTGTATACATACCTCCATGAGTGCTTGATGGCATTCGTAAATTAGCCCTGAGTTTATGTCATAGCTATTCAGTGCTTGAAGTACTGACATACTGTCGGAGAGTATTCGAATGGAGTAGTTCTTTACTCTTCTCGCTATGATTGCTTCTCCCGCCAACTTGATACCCATGCATTCAGCCTGGAATACTGTGTTGTGGTCACCAAGCGGTGCTGATATCCTGATATTGAGGTCTCATGGGAATACCCAGTACCTGTTCCTGAGTTTGTTTTAGATCCATCAGTGAAGACTCGGACCTCTCTGGGGTTCAGTCCTTCGTTGGGATCTTCAAAAAATTGTATCTTGTATTTATTGTCAAAAATGTATTGTTTTGGGATCCTATCCACAACCGCCTCCAGTAGCGGTTCCTCATTGACAGTCTTGTAAAGGATTTCTGTATGTGGGGTCCTCATGTGCTTCCAGAGGCCGGCTCTGTTTAGACGCCGCTTCCTGTCTGATGAATAGTAGGAGGGGTCGAAGGTCCAGCATCGCTTCGAGGGCCGCAGTTGGAGTTGTCCTCATGCAGCCGGTCGTCGCCATGCAAGCGAGTCTTTGGAATTTGTCCAGCTTGTCGGTTGCGGTCGTCAGCTTGGTTCGTGGCCACCATACTATCGCGCCGTAACTAATCATGGGTCTTATCACCGCAGTGTAGAACCATAGTGTTATCTTGGGTGTAAGTCCCCATTGTTTACTCACCATTCTATGGCACTGCCAGAAGGTGATAGTAGCTTTTTTAATTTTGTTGTCCAGATGTTTGTTCCAGTTCAACTTGTCCAGTATTACTCCCAAGTACTTGACTTCGGTTGATATCTATAGTTCTGTGCTGAAGAGATTGGGTAATCGGTAGTTACCTAGTAGTCGTTTGTTGGTAAACATTACTAGTTCCGTCTTTGTTGGATTTACCGATAGTTCATATGCTCTCCATCATCTTTCCACAATTCGGAGAGCCACTTGTGTAATGTCGCAGAGTGTATTGGCGTACTTTCCTGTTACCGGTATAGCTATGTCATCAGCATATCCTGTTGTATAGAAATGTTCTTTGTTGAGTTTAATGATAGTCATTTACGACCATGTTCCACAGCAGAGGCGACAATACCCCTCCTTGAGGGCACCCCTTCGCTACTATGGCCCATGGGGTCTCATTTGCTGTTGTTTTTATTGTTCTTTGATTAGCTGAACCATTTCCTGCGGTGGTGGCACATCAGTCTCCGCCATATAGACAGAGGCGAGCACCACTTCAGGCAGACCCGTGGCCGCGTCTGCTAAAAGCTTTACGGCACACAGGTCTCTGGAACAGAATTCAGTTAGTGGCTGTACATGTAAGTTATTGGAGTAATATATGCAAGTTCTAGGTTTATCTGAGATGGTAGTCGATAGTAGCTTACCTCTCAGATGTGAGAGTCCATTTATTTGGCCACGGGCACTAATACACGGTTCCTGGATTAGTGTTGTTAGCCTCCAACCATTTCCGGAGCTGAACCGTTGCGGCCTGGCTGTGGTGGAGGTGGCTCTGAACGATGTGAAGTTTACTGAGCGAGGGGGAAACCGCCATCAGAAGATAGCAGCTCCTCGTCCACGTCCTCGCTCAGTCGGATGTCTCCCATCCCCAACACGCACTCGTCGTCACTGCCGGGCGCCACCGGTTTGACAGCGTCGTCCGCAGTGACAAGGGGTCGAGGAGGGCCCTTCACCTTTTCCGGGAATATCGGAGGAGGTGGAGGGCTCCGGGGAGACGTCCGTCCGCGTCGCTTTTGTGCCCGTCTTCTCGGGTGGCACATCGGTGTACAGGTCCCTCTTTGATCTGAACCTGAGGTAGACCGTGCCCAACTGGAAGGCTAGGCGCCGGCCATGCCCTAGGACAGCGGGGACAAGTTCTTCTGGGAGGCTCACCACTACGAAGGAGTTGCCACTATGCTGCTGCAGCTTGTGAACAACCCAGCGGTGTGCCTCCGCCCACGGGTTTTGCCACTTGAGGATGCGGCCGATTCGACGCGCATCCTCCCAGCTACTAGGGATGAGTAGTCCGCAGACTACCCTCTGGGGAGCCTCCACCCCATTTTTCAAATGAGAGGGGCTCCCCGGATGGCAGCCTGATGGTGCTAATAGCATCCTCTAGCCACTGGTAGGTGCGCTAGGGGTGCGCGACCGACCCATTTGACCGTGTTCATGCAGTCCTTGGGCCACTCGCGCCACCCACTGGAGGCCTCGCCTCTCCCTCCTTCGGCAGGGGGTTGTGTGTAGTGCGACGCTCGCGTTCTCTACGACGGCCCTTCTTGTTTTTACGGGCAGGGCGTCCCCTGCTCCCGCTGGGCGCCGGAGGTGGGCGCTCGCCGTGGCCACTAGTCCCTTCCTTGCGGATGGGTGCCGTGGCCTTGGATTTGGGCTGGCGACTCACCAAGGTCCACCCTGCTTCAAGGGCCGCGTTTGAAGGGTTTTGAGTGGGGGCCGCTGAACCTGGGGTTTGGGCCACAAGCGCTGGTGTGGTGCTAGCATCAACATCGGTGCTTGGCTGACCTTGGGGTTTCCCCTTTGGCCTACCACTCATCGTAGGGCGCTGTGTATTTGTATTTGCTTGTGGGGCACTTTTGGGTTTTGCATTTTGAGTGTTGGTATTTAAAAGATGATCATTAAAATCCATGTTATTTGTTCGTAAAATTCACTCTCCTGACTTCCCACCCACCACGGAGCCCGCACCTTTGGGGATGTCCCATTCGGGACACCAGGATTGTCAGGAGAGTATAGGTGCAGGAGTTGGGACCTCACTGCGCGACATCGGGGGCTCGAAATGTGCGGCTGGCTGACCTGATCAAAGTCAACCAGGTGTTCCGCACATACTCATCCCGTCAGCATGGCCCAGTCCGTCCCCTCCCACCTCGCCTGTGGCCCTCTGACGGGACACAATGCCATTTCCTTGTGTTGGCTAATCACAGGGCTACCGTTTAGCAGGAAATCAGGGCCAAAGGGGGCGTATTGCTTGCCGAAGTCCCCACCCCGCTCGAGCTCAACCCCCCAGGATTCCTTCATCCCTGCGTACGCGTACGCAGGGATGAAGGGCGCTCAACTGCGTAGGCATTAACGCAGGAGGGTGTAAGTTTAGACTGCCCACCACGTGCCATGAAGCCACCCCCAGAAAAGCATGGCCGGGCCGTGTTGATCGCTTCGCGCCCTCACTGACAATTCTCAGACTGAAGCCGAGGATTGTCAGTGTTGGCCCCAGGGTGTACCGGCTACGTCCTCGGGCGTTCTGTGATAACATGTTACTACAGACTGCTCAAAGACTTCGCACGCGTGGAGGTGGAACAACTAACACACCCCTTTTATTCGATAGGTTCTTTCGAACGAATTTTCCATGAAACGACCGATTCATACGACCCGAACTAACAGAGTGAGAAGGCGAATCGAGTCGTGAGATGAAACGACCGATTCATACGACCCGAACTAACAGAGTGAGAAGGCGAATCGAGTCGTGAGGTCTTTACGTGAGAATGAACGATACAACAATAATATTGTGAATTCCAGACTTATTGTTATGTGAATTGTTGAATAATCTCAAATTGCTTAGTTATAAAGTCGAATATTGCACGCATGACCCCTGAAACTCTAAAATGATCGGGTCATTTAAGAGCTTGTAACTCGGGTTGTCGGGTCACAGGTACTGTTCAAATCATTTTGATTGGGTCGATCACGATCGACGCGCGCCTAATTATAATACCCTATTCAATATTTATCTAAATACGGTGTCCGCCAGAAATCAGAAATGATATCAATGTTTAACTCGACCTCAGTTAATCTAAAGCTGAGTCAGGAATTTAATAAAACGACAATCTAAAAGTGATGTGTAATAATAACTAACTATTAACGCTATAGACATTTCAAACTGGTTTTAATTTTAATATCAAAACTATAATACTAAAAACCAAAATTTTGCATAAAAAGGTCTATCATAATGTTTAGGATGTTATGTAAAACTACTCAATCTTTTACGTTTAATAGCTTGGGATGTTCAAGAAACGTGATTATAAATACCATTAGGTCTAATACTAACGTGGCAAATGTCTTTCGAGCTCAAAAGGCTCAGAAGAAAGACTCTAGTAGTGAAGTAATAAAATGGGTGTTATTGGTTAGTTATTTTCTTTTTTCTTTTACATTAAGAACTACGTAAATTGGCTTGGTTATTAAGTTGTTTTTCCAGATGACAATGTGTTAAAGCTAATTATATGTTACTCTATCTATTTTCGGTGGTAATGTTCATTTTGGTATCACAGAATAACAGACCAAATAGTAATTGGTGCCAGTATAACACATTGTATTGTGTTGCAGTAAACCCCATGTACTTACCATATTTATTAATATCTTATTCCAGTACCCATCAAACTTGTGCATCCTCTACAAAGCTCCTTGCCTTACTCTTGTAATAAGTAACATATTATTCTTATTAGTTAATGAACATATATTTCAGATGATTCCAGCGAGCTCATTTGGACTAGGATGCTGGCAAGTGTATCGTCTGCAATGGAAATTGGAACTTATAGACATAATGCAAGCAAAATCAAATGCACAGCCTAAGGAAATGCCACAGAAGTAGGTTTTGTTCATCTACTATGTATTTGAGTCATAACAAAATAAATTAAAATTCTCCTCAATATCATAATTACTCTGATTGTATATATTATGGAGATTCAATATAATAATAATAGTTTGTATATCAAGTTACGAACATTGTCTCTTATACTGGTAGTTTTAGATAAATTGTCTCAGATAACTTAAATAATTTTTATTTCTATTTTCAGTATAGAAGAATTAAATGACATGGAATATATGCCTGTAAAGGTTCGGGGAAAATTTATTCACGACAAAGAGTTCCTTATCGGTCCTAGAGCTCTCATTGAAAATGGTTCAACATCTGCTCGGTTTGGATCTCTTGTTTCTGATCCAAAAACTAACCAGGGTTGGCTTGTGGTGACACCTTTTAAGTTGACTAATGGGTGAGAGATTTTATTTTGTTATTTGTTGTCTTGTCATGTTTCTGTAAATCTGTTATACAGACATGCTTATAATGTTGTAGAGTTGTAATACCTCTCCTACTTTTCACATATTATTGAACTCTTGCCATCACAATTAATAATCACATGGTCCTTAAGTGCAACAGTTTAGCTATGTCTACTTAAGTAATAATTCTTCAGCAAAATGGGATTTAAAGGAAGTGAATAGGCATTATTAAGGCGTCATGCTCAATCAATGACCTCATCGTCACTTTGTACCAGGTAAGATGGAGGTCAACAGGAACTTATATATTGACAGGAAAAGATTTTCTGTACCTCCTACTACAGACTGTTATTTTTTACAGAGAAACAATCTTGGTGAATCGTGGTTGGATACCACAAAGCATGCGTCCTAAAGAAAAACGCCAGTCTTCAATGATAGATACCGAAATAGAATTAGTTGGAGTAGTGAGGTTGACAGAAAAGCGAGCTCCATTCATGCCCAAGAATCACCCAGAGAAGGGATCTTGGTTTTATAGGTGGGTTACACTTTACTGATTATACCTAATTATAACAAAAAATTGTTTATGCAGGTGATCCAGGAGTGAATTGTGACATTCTAATGGGAACATTTTGTTCAATTTAACATGGACAGTGGATTTTTTCTTACTGATCATATTAAAAAAAAAACTGACTTTTTGCAAATAATATTACTGTAAAATTAATTTTCAATACTTTTATACCTAACTCTTAACATACAGCTCCCAATTTCAGGACAAAAAATGGAGTTTTTTGTTAGTTCTTGAACACAATAAAATTAACACTACTAATAGATCATTCTTAATGGCATTAATGCTAAACTTTGGTGCAGGGAACTGACCTTCATCTTTTTTTTTTTTCAGGGACTTAGAACAAATGAGTTTACACGTCGGGAGTATTCCTGTATGGTTAGACGCTAGAGGGTTACCAGATCCCCCTGTAGGTTGGCCTATCCCAAACCAAACAAAAGTCACCTTGAGAAATGAACATTTTTCATATCTTGTGACATGGTACACCCTTTCTGCATTTACAGCGCTTATGTGGCACCGCTATTTCATCAGAAAACTACCACTCTTGTAATGTATCAGGTGCATTTTAAAATATCTATTATAGTTTTAAATGGATACTTGGTATGTTCATCATGTACTGTTTTAAGAAGTCTACATGTACAAAGATCAAAGTAATTGTAGATATTGTAGTAAGGACTGTTGTAGAAAATGAATAAAAAAGCAAATTATAATAAAGTTTTTATTGAATTTCTGAGTTTCGACTTCTACACTAGGGATTTTTAGTATTTAATATCAGTGACCATTGACTTACAAATAAATGGACGACGGGTCTAATACAAAAACCACGAAAAAAATGTCCCAAGTCAACCTATTCGAAATTTAAATTGTTATGTCATCGCAGTATCGCGCTGTCCGTAGAACAAATGAAGACTAAAGCGGAGTGTCGCGCTCTGTATACGATTTTAGCGCCTTACAAGTGCGGACACTTTAGCGCGGACCCGACGTCCATATAATTGTAAGTCAATGTCAGTGACGATGATTGTGGTGTGTGGTTGTAATACAAAATGTGCTATACCAAGTAAATAAAGAATTATGTGAAATATTGCATTCCGCCGCAATATAAATTGAGCCATAAATAAAACGTTAATTTGGGAGAAACATGGGAGAAACGGTGAAATAAGACGCTCAGCTAGGTAATCATTTTTATTTTCATTCCAAAATGTCATCATGCAACTGACACTTAATAGTTATTTATTTTATTACGCCCTTATTTTTGTCAAGCAAAAAATTAAATGCAACCTTATAGCATGTCTTACTCTTTCAATCACCTAGTTAAAATTAAAGCAGAACCACCTTTGTTCCTTTCATATTGTGTTGAAAACCATAGTGCCAGCCACTGCAATTACCGCTTCTGTCTACTGATTCAAGAAGCTAAAGAGTATGACTATTGTCCACAAGCCAAGTTTTTCAAACCGAAATAGTCTTTCAATATACAAAGGAAAAATGGTGATAACTACTAAAAGTACAGTAATAAATGAAAAGAAATATGACACACTACAGTGGCATAATCTGCCTTAAGTTATTTAAGAATGATTTGGCACCCTCTCTGCAGTTTGCAAGTTGCTGGCCCTTTCAATAGATTTTAAAAGGTGATTATAGCCATACAAATACAGGTGAACCACAGGGAAAGTGCCTTAATTACTAAAATATATGCATATATAAAGCACAACGCGCTGCACACTACAATCACACTTAGGCAGTTTTTAATTATTGTATTTCGTAAGATGGTACAATACATACCGCAAAAACTTTCAGATAAGTAAAACCCACTTAGACCCTGTGCTCATGTCGTGGTGCATTTTGGAGTGCTTGTATCAATATTTTTACATAATTACCTACCTATTACGTACATTGTTGTCAAACAATTCTAGATTTTTTTACAATACTTGCAAAATTGGTTCTCTTCGACAGCATTGCATAAAAATATCATACTAATTTCGATTAGTCAAATAATCTATTTTAAGAAAGCTTGACCTAAGCTCGTTATAAAACATTGTTATTCAAATTGTGTGAATCTCTACAATGAGTTTAGTTTTCAAGTTGTTACCTACTTTGTTTATTACAGTGCCCAGTGCGAGCAAAGAAAGAAGTAAGCCGTATAAATATTTTACACGGTAGTTTTTTTATATAGTAATAGACTGACGCTTGACCACAATCTCACCCGTTAGCGGTGATGTGAGCGACGGTAAATGATATTTTTCGGGAAATACATTATAGCGTAATCCATTCCTTTGCCGCGCGTATTAGCAAAAAAGGTGGAAGCAAAAAAGCGCTTCGTGCAAATGAGTGGTATATCAATGACAAGGATGGACTGTTCCGGATTTTCAAGTAGAGCTAAATTGAAAAGTTCTAATAGACACTCTGAAATGTATCCAATAGAGAACAAGCAATACAGCAGCACTACAGGCAGGCCACTTCTGGGGTGGTCGAGATTTTGTAACTTCGATACCACAAGAGATTCGTTTCCAATTAGTGGTTATACACTGCTATTTTTAGCAGCGATGCAAACGCGCGTTCGTGTAACGCGCGATTACATCGTTACACTTATATTACGATTGTATGGATACAAACGCGCAATTGGAGGAATGCAGGCGCGCGTGTGCTTTGCTGCAATCTTTTTATAAATCCGTGTGTAGCGATGCAATCACGCGTTTGTATAGATGCAGTCGCGCGTTTGCATCGCTGCTAAAAGTTGTCGTATGTAACTGCTCCGAGTCCCTTTTCTTTTCGCTCCACAGAGTTCATGGAAAGTAACTGGTAGCGGGCAGAGCGGTCCCAAAGCTGTGCAACGCGAGGTTCTCCATACACGACCGATATTCTGTTATATAAAGACTTAAAAGACATAATGCCTGACCTTGAAAAGTATGTTTATTTTTTTGCCAGCAGTTTTTCCCAACACTCCGTGTAATGACCTATGTTGAGCTGGTTGAGGTTAGGTGGTAAGGCAAGTAGCTCGAGGTGGTCACACTACTTACAACATTGTAAACTCATTGTAGAGGTACATTTATGTCATATACGATTTAGCAATGAATTATGGTTTAATGAAATTTAAGAAAAATGTCGTTACGCAGTCTCTACTAAACTGCTGGTGCTTAGGTATATATAACATTTAATAATCGCTTTAACTTGTTGCCGATAATTGCATGATAGATTTCAATAAGTACGTAAGTAAGACACTTTTGATTATAACCTGAAAGGCACTTTAAGACACAAGATTCAGTAAAAGTTTTGGTAATACATATTCTGTTTTCAACAAGAAAACGGAAAATGAGAAATACATAAAGCAAAGTAACGTAATGTGAAAGATAGATCACCTAAAAAATCCTGCTTGGTTTTCAAAAACGGATTTTTGCTAACTACTTACAAACTAGAAAAACTTGTTTATATATTATATTAAAATAATAATGGCAGACAAAAAGTCAGATAAATTTGAATGAAGCCGAAGAGGGTATAGTGATAAACGGAGAAGTCTGTAATAATATACGCTACGCAGACGATACTATACTGATTGCGGAGAAAATATACTACTGGATCGTATAAATGTAGGAAGTAACAACTATGGATTAAAAATCAACAAATCAAATATTAAAAAAAAAGACAGTTCATGATCGTATCTAAGACCCCAGTAGCGAATGAATATTTGAGTTTGGAAAATAATCCAATAGAACGCGTACACCAATTTAAATAGGTACCTTGGTAGCTACGTAAATGAACAATGGGGTTGCGTATAAGAAGTTCGTATTCGCATCGAATAAGCACGAAGTGCCTTCATGAAAATGAAAAAAAAAAAAATGTGTTGTAGAAAAGGTTTAACCTTAAACTCCACATGCGTTTGGTCGTCTGCTGTTATGTCTTCAGTATCTTGCTGGTTTTATATGGAGTGTTGGACCTTGACCGCAGCATTGTGCTTAAAACTGAAGTTCTTTGAGACGTATGCTTGGCATATCGTGGGTACAAAAGGTCACCAATGTTGCGGTTCTTCGTCGAATGGGCAAAAAGTTGGAAATACTCAGAACTGTAAAGGAAATGATGCTGCAGTATTTTGGCCATGTAATGAGGGGCAATAGATACCGGATTTTTCAACTAATAATGCAAGGAAAATTAAACTAATAATGCAGGGAAGGAAAACCTCGTGGTTGAAGAATCTGAGAGTTGGTTCCACTTTAGCACGTTCCCTCTTTCGTGCGGCAGCTTCAAAAATGAGAATAGCCATGATAGTCGCCAACCTTCGTAGAGAAGTGGCACACTAACAAGAATAGAATGTAAATCTTTGATTGCAAAAGGTACATAATATACATATGTACTGAATTCTACTATAGTGTTTATATTATACGGCATAATATGATAGGTACGAACGGCACTTGTAGTGGTTAAAATCAGTCTTTGTAGTAAGTATTATTATTAATTAGTGTCAGGTAAGATGACCCTGTGCGTCATCAACCCAAACACGTCTCACAGCTGGATAGGCTCTCCTCTACGAAGATGGAGTTAATTCGCTGTATCCAATCTCTATCTCTGTTCAACTATCGTCTAGGTATAATAGAGAAATAATAAAATATAATAAATAAAGTAGGTCAAGTAACATTCAGAAATAAGGTTCAGGTGCAGATTCTGTTGTGCGTTTGGTAAAAGGTGAACTGATTATAATTCATATGATATAACAGCTGATGAGTCCCTTTTGCACCCGTGCTTTCACGGGCTTGTGGTACTGAACACCAATTACGTGTTTTCAATTGGAATAATTTAGGTTTTGTTTGATTTCTTAACCCAGCTGGGGTTCAAATCTAAGATTTAAGTCTTGACTATTCCAAACTGGTTTAGAACAAGTATTTCGATGTGATTAAGGAAGTAATGGTTGCAAGCCACAAAATGTCGATGTTCTGATGTAGTATACAAGCCAGCAATGGTGAAAAAAGTTTAAAAAAAATTAACACCGCCTATAGACTTTTGCGATACTATGCATTATTTATATCGCAAAAGCACTAGTTACAGATTTTAGAATCTCGGCTGTCCTATTGTACGAAAGAATTAACGCATGTAGAGAAATAATATGGCAAGATAAAAACAATTGAAGAGTCTGTTGTTTCAGTTACAAGTGTTCATTAACTATGTTTGAGAAATAGATATGCACAACAAAATCCACATGAAAGATAAAAATTACATTAATATAAATTTAATAGTTTATGTAAGTTAACTTTGATAAAATTTATAGGATGTCAACTGTCGTTCTCGCGCACTGTTACTTATTCTACCTTAACAAATACTTGTACTAAAGTAGGCATGCGATTATTCTACGTAAAAACAAAAAATATTACTTATTATACTTCATTCTTCAGTTTTAATCATTATGTTAATACTTATTCATTAATACGCATTAACTTTGAACTTCATCTGATACAGATGATTTATTTTCTATCCTTTTTTTAGTTTTCGAACACATTTGTTTATTTGAACTTTTTATGAGCAACTGTAAGTTTAATTTAGTGATAATTGTTCTACTTTTATTAAAAAATCATTCGATCTGAACTAGTATTACGTTATTTTGTTATTTCAGCTTAATTTTCTAACTTAACGTTCTGAAAATACTTTTGAAACGTATCTATCAATCCGTAGCGTTTTCTGTCCGATTCTGCCCAATTTTGTTACTGTGACCGTTCTTCGCCGATACATTTTACTAAACGTAAATTATGTGACATGGTTATTACTTGTTTCTATAAAACCTACCTACCTAGAATCTGGTTAGTCACGATTCAATACCTCACTAATGCTTCAACAAATTGGTCATTATTTTCTTTATTGAAGTACTATTTCTAGACAATACCTTTCAACTACCCTCAAATCAGTGTTAGTGTTTTTCTAATTGATTATTTAAAAGGAACACAAGCATGCGATTGATTTGGCCATATACCATCCACGCATCATATAACTCTAACAGAGCTATAAGCTGGGCCCAAATCAAGTAGAAACATTATGTCATCAGGCTTACAATACGCCATTCATGACATCTAGATTCAATCATACAGGATACAACATAACGGTTCAACCGTTCAAACAGGTGGGGGTCCCCTCACGTAACGCAGTTGCGGTGTCAGTGTCTGGGCGATGGAGTTGAGGGCATCACAGCAGCGTGGACGCTCGATCAACCAAGCGGCGACCAATAAGGTTACTAGACAGAGCTGAATTGGCAACGAAGAACGTAGCACACGCCATACCCAAGCCCCGCGAGGAGTATAGTCTGGGTCGCCAGCGCCTGTCTTGCTTCCCCCTACAGTACTTAAAGTATTAGTACTCCTGAAACATAAATGTTGTTAGGTTATTCTTAAGTAGATCTTATAGAAACAAATGTTTATACGAGGACTACCCAGAAAGCAGATTACGTTTTGCTCTGTTGCCGTTACGGAGGTACTAGCGCGTTCATCTTGGTGTCAAGAGTGTTCCTACGTTCAGTGGACATCCATGCTAGCGAGAAGTATCTACAGCTTCTCGGTATTTTACAATAACAGTTTCCGTGAAAGTGAAATCAACGCCTGAAATCGGACTCGACAAATCCTGAATGCTTTCAAAGGGGAGGTGTTTCCCCATTCGCCATACAGCGCTGGTCTGGTCCCCAGCGACAACCACTTGGTTTCGAAAACATAGAACTGCTTGCGACACCGCGCTTTGACGACGATGCAGAACTGCGGGTGGGCTTCAACTAACCAGTTGAATCATCATCTCTCATCGTTACCATCACTATACTATTTAATGCAGTGTAGCCTCGTCCACTACTCACCTCTAAGGGACTGAAGTTTTGGGGAGACTAGTATATAATACAAGTGTCGCTTTCAAATGTATATAATGAAATATTTTTCTTGTGCTTAGGTTTTAATATAATGTAATCCACTTTCTGTATAGCCCTTGTAATAAGTGTGTGTTGGAAAGAGCCACAATTATCGCATACATCTCTTAAGGTACAGTATTCCCACTACACAGAGTTTGTTTTCGAGCCACTTATTTAAATGTATTGTACAGGGTCAAGAGCACGTCAACTTTGACACTAAACGCTTAAATTAACTCTATGCCACTTGCAATAAGAACGGTCCAAAGTCCAAAGTGTCAAGCTTGATGTGGTCTTGACTGTACATAGATGTATAATTTTATCAGTTATTACATTTAATTTTGACAACAAAGAGAAGTTTCAACATTGAATCTGTCTAACAATCAGGCAGAGGTAGTTACTATATTTTTTCTTAATATTTCAATTACAACCTATACTCATTCTAAGCGATAACTTACGTGTCTTCATCGATTACGAAATCTGGAATATTTTGTGCCACCAAAGCGCGACAGGATTCTTGTAGACTGCGGACTTCGTTCTCGGTTTGCTCCATGCGCTGTAATCAAGGTAATCAAAAATCATTTAGACGTTTGGCACTTTACAAGGAGTAAACAGTAAGTCGTTATAAAGTAAACTTCATACTTTTAAAATAATACAAATGGTAAAGGTCTGGTGGAAAATTCTTTGCTCAGTAATAATAACGCCAGTTGTTTGAACTTGTCTTGTATTGACCAAAGTGGATGATAAACTAAGTACTTATCACAACACAACACACGAAAGGAAAAAGACAATGGCTGTGCTACAATGCCATAAGGGAGTAATTGCAGTACCTTGAGTACCTTCAGTTTGAGTATGGGTCATTTTGGCGACACCCGTTCTGATAGTAATCAGAACCGGTGTCGCCAAAACTGACCAGTTATAATTTGAAACACTATGAAGTCTTGTTAATGATTGGTCATAGTTTCAAATTTGAAAATAAATAATAAATTCCAGAAATTAAAACTTTATCCTGTTGGCACACCGTTGAAAGTTCAATACCATCAATACAATTATTGCAAGTTACGTCGTCTTGATTTTATATTGATATTTCATTAAAATGTGATAATATCATCTAGCGGTTAATAGCTGAACGACGACGAATTAGAGATGTTTACCAAGTTCTTCAAAAAAGAAGCAACCATATTGCAGCAGTATATATATAGCAGAGCGGTTTACTTTCGTTTCTTGTAACAACAAAACGATTACGATAAACAGAAAATTGAAAATGCATAAAATTAAATACAATAAAACTTAATGATGATACGAAACAACATAATATTATAAGAGCGATTATCGTTTTTGCAAAGTAGCGAAATAAGTTATTTTTCTACGATGTTCTAGGTTTTTTCTAGGTTAGGTGAGATCATTGACAGGACCATAGCCGTACAAAGCGAAAATGGCAGACTCCGCAAACTGTTGGCATATGTGCCACGCCAACTAAGCACTTCTACTATATTCATTGTTCTGTGGTCATTTGACCACGTTTTGGTCCCTATCCACTTTGGCCCTCACCCTAAAGGAGAACAAGAATGAATAAAGTACACTAATTAATTTACCTTAGCAATAGCTCGGTGTGCTGGCGAGTTCGGGGCTAAGGCTGCCTGCAGACGGCGAGCCAGTTCACGCAGGGCGCTAAGGCGGCGCGCACGCCCACCAGCGCCCTCACTGTCTCCGTCTGATATGCCCGAGTCGGACATTGAATCGCATGTTGACCCCCCCTGCAAGTAAGGAGAATATCGTAACGTGCGAGCTATAGAAATATCAACAAGTAACCAAAAACAAAACATTAGCGAATTCACATTAATATTAATAATAATAATAACGTTTATTGCAAAACATGTTGTTACATAATAGTTCTTATAGTAGTTAGTATCAAACATGTACCCTGTAAGGGCGTAGCAATGTCAATTTTTTAAATATACATTTTGATTACCATTAATTAAAATATCATTATAATGATAATTAAATCTAAACAAATATTTTCTGAAAAGTCAATGAATTAATTGGAAAATGAATGTCAAATTGAAGTCTAAAGTATTTGAAAAAAATTAATCGTCAAATTATTCTAGAATTATATAATAATAGTCATAACATTTGTCATTTTATTAAATTACATAATTATGTCATATTTTTTATAAATATAGTTAACATATCAAAATTCCTTTTTTATGACGTTATGAGCAATTTTCCTTGTTATTAAAAAAATCTTGCAATGAATAGTAGCATTTTTGAGACAGATGTTTACTAAGTTGATTTTTAAACATTTTTACGCTATTTATCAGTTTTAAAAAGTGAGGGAGTGCGTTATAAATTTTAATTGACATCGAATATGGCCCCAAGTTGACCATTTGTAATTTTGAAACTGTTGTTGCTAGTCTGCATTTGGGTCTTAATTTTACTGAACGACAATGTAGAGGATATGCATTCAAATTATTCTTGACAATAAGACACATTTGTAAAATATATATACATGGTAAAGTCAAGATATTATATTTAATTAAATACGATTGACAGCTTGTAAACGAGTCTATATTAGCGAGTATGCGGATACATTTCTTTCTAACACAAAAATTTTTTTTGCGTCAGTGCTGTGTTGCCCCACAATGCAACGCCATAGCTAAGCCAGGCATAAGCATACGCGTAGTAAGCGCTAGTTGCTGTCCGAAGGTCAGTAGATTTTTTGAGCTGGTTAAGAGCATATGTGAAACTAGACAGTTTACCAACAACTTTATTCACATGATCCTTCCAATTTAAATTTATGTCGATATTTATTCCTAGGAGGCAAAAGGAGTTTACAGAATGAAGCGCGATGTTGTTAAATTTATAAATTAAATTTATAGGGCGATTTTGATAAGGTCTAAACTGCATTAATTTAGTTTTGTTAAAATTAACTTCTTCACGTGTATGTTAGTGGAGCTACCAGGGTCACAGATTTTGAGTCTCATACAGCTTGCTGCTTGGACCTTCTGCTTTCAACTGATCCAGACCGAAACCTGGATGGTGGATATGATGTTCAATTTTTTATCTTTTTAAATCCAAGGTGGCCAGTTTTTATTATTTATATTTATATATCACCTATCGGATGGGTCTGCTGTCTGCTAGATCCATCCGCTAGGTGTACATTATAAATGGGTCCGCTATATCCACCTGATAAGTGTACATAAATATAAGTACTAACTGGCCGCCTTGAATTTCATTGCAAAACGTGTTAAGAAACTTATCGGTGATTTGAATTTGAGGCGAAGCTGCAGTGGCTTGAACACCGCCATAAAGTTGCTTGCTTGTCTGTATTCTTTAGGATAAACAACGATAACACGGCAAATAATCCGCCATCTCCTTTCCATCATCGGGGACTAGACGTAGGCTAGTGTTCCATCCTAACGTTGTTGATGTAGACAACATCACATACGTTGCTCTGATCCCAAAGTAAGTAACTAAAGCACTTGTGTTATATAAATCGGAAACGACCACGGTACCATAATCATCCAGACTCGAGCAGATATTGAAAAGTAAGTTTTGTACCCGGTCGGGAATCGAACCCTGAACCTTAGTTGGCGTCACTACAAAAACCAGTGTGTAAGCCATTCGACCACGGAAGACGTCAGAGAGAAGCGTTAAGTTTCCACATTTATATGGCGTACGGCATTGGAGAACATTGGATCATGAACGCATCAGCCTGACAAGTTTCACTTCTGCCATTAACGTAACAACATTCTCTGCCTTCAGATTTGTTCCCTGAATGCCATACTTGCACCTTTTCAAGCCTGGAGTGAATAGTCATTATATCGGTGTCTATGCTCCATCATCGACCTCAGCAGCACTTTCCATCAAGTGAGATGGAAGTCGGTATGAGTAGCAGTAGAGCTCCTTGTGAAAGAGTTCGTCCAGGGAAGTACAGTCACCTTATCTATTTTTGTCGCCAAGCAGAAATGTAAGCGAGCATTACTGTTTTTTTTTTTTTTTTTTTTTTTTTGTGTTTCGGTTTTGAAGGGTAAGGGTGCCCGTGAAATTACAGACACATGAGACTTGTCAACTTATTCTGAGAATGACACGCGCAGTGACAGTCTCCCTCAGATCTTTGCGATTTAAAGCTCTGAATTGGTATCATAAAAAAAGTCAAATACATATTTCTTTAATCTATAAAAAATTCACAAATAGATCACAAAGCTAAATTAAATACATTTCGCACTGCTCTGTTTTAGGTACACAAAAATTTATGTATTCTCTCGATTTTAAATAATACCAATACGCGCTTTTGTAACATTTTACCATCAAGGTTATCGTAATGAGATGATACACTTTGCTATTCAATGTCAGTGATCGCGATTAGGAAAGATTTTTCTTCTATAAGCATCATTAAACATTATTTAAAGCAATCAAGGTAATTAGAGCGGTTCTAACCTTCTTCTTGTCAATGAGCGAGGCAGCGAGCTGACGAATTTGAGCAGCGACTTCGGACTTGTCTCCAACGGACGCGCCACGTTCCCTCAACGACTGCAGTGTGGCGAGGTCCCCGCGTAAGGCTCCTTGCAGTTCCCGGAGAGCGTTCTTCCACTCATTCCAAGCGCATACTGCCTTCTCCAATGAGAGCAGCTCGTTAGACGTGCTGAAATAATTTAAAATAATTTATTATTAAAGATGTATATCATTTGTAAAATGTAACTTTTTCAAAGTCGGGATTTATTCTTTTATACCAAGAGACGGGGCAAACTAGTCGTGCGCCTGGTGGTAGGCGACACACCTGTCCATAGCAGTTGCAGTGCCACTCAGAGCTTGTAAACGCAAAGATCCGTAGAGCACTGCCACTGCGCCCGTCATAAGTTGACAAATCCCATGAGTCTGTAATTGCACTGGCACCCTTAGCCTTCAAAACCGGAACACAGCAATGCTCACGTTACTGCTTGGCGGCAGAAATAGGCAAGGTGGTAGTAATCACTTCCCAGGACGAACACTTTCACAAATAGCTCTACTGCTACTAAAATGCAACAGGATGCATTTATCGCATCCATAGAACGATGTTACAAAAAGTGAACAACCTTGAGGACAATAAAAGCTTGCTAATCTTTGTAGTTTATATGCATTCGTACAGTTATTGTTGTCAATTCTTTTTTTCTCAAAAAATTTTCACTATGTCACTTGATGGTAGATCGCAAAAATCGTTAGGTCATGTTTTCACTTCGCCTTTAAGTACTATATAGGTTGGTAAAGGACGACAAATTGCAGTGGTACAAATGTAAAAGTGGACCTTGTCAAGTCATATTCAGTTGGTTTTTGGTTTATGGATTGATTTAGAAGTGAAATAGGTAAGTTACCGTTGATAAGCATCGTCCCAAGCAGCTAGCAACGCCGTTAAGTCGGCTGCCATTCCGTGCTCATACGGCTCCATATCGCTGAGCATACGACGCACTGACAGTGTCACCTTCAACATCGCCACTTTGTATTCCAACAGGTAAGACAAACGCTCCTGGAAACACATTGCATTTTCTTTATTATTATCTTATCATCTTTTATTTATTTTTATTCCTAATATTTTGTATTTTATTGGCTAATATACCTTTAGATTAAATAATAAACGAAAAAGTACCTGTAAGGATTCTAGTCTATATCAACAGAGCAGGGTGGTGTGGGCCAATCTCACTAAGAGATACATCGAAAGTTACCTTAAGCTCATCGATCCTCCTGTTGAGCTGTGTACGTGTATGCGGTTGAGACGCGCAGTCACCGGGCTCGCAGATTTCTTCCAGCGCATCGCGCAGCGTGCCCATCTCGCGGCGCAGTCGCCGGTACTTGCTGCATCGTGACTCTGCCGCGCGTAACGCGGACCATCTTGCAGACACGACTACAGAAAGATAATAAAATTTACTTATTGCGGCCACAGAATGATTCGTGGCAAGACATCCATTACGTTACATCTATCTCCGAAAGCTCGCCGCATCACATCGCCTAAGTGCTGTTGTGTTTCGTAGCTCTGTTCTTCACTACTTCATAAGTTCATATCGAGGGTTCAAACCTAACAAGCGTGTGAACTTCCGTAAAATGAGATTTCTAACTCATTATAGTGTTCTTTTCATAGCCATTCTAGGTTGGACGCAATATGCAGATTTATAAGTGTAACACAGAAACGGTTTAGTTACCTACAAAAACGACATATTTATCATGGAAAAGTACATGAGTAGTACACTATCATGAGTACAACTAGTTACATGAAAATATTGTCGATTTTATCTCTTCTAGATGGTTGAAATGCATCGTTAACTAAACCGAATTATTCCTTTATGTGACGGCATCATTGAGGCCATGTAAAATGTTGTTTTCAATGTAATCACTAATCGGCTATTGGATCGTTACTTAGCTACGGCGAATACAAATATCCACTAAGTGGGATACCAGTAACACGACCTGACAGTACACCAGACAAGTATAATCAGCAAGCACCGCACACATTAACCCAGTAACAAGTAACAGATCCGTCAGTGCATCAGCCGGCCTACATGCATGCAATACACCTCACGCATTTGATGTACATAAACAAGTGTAACACTTTGATACAGTACACTCGCAATATAGACTGGCCTTCTCTTTTTATAGGAAACTAAACAAACTAAACGTCTTACAACATCTAATCATGAATAGTAATGTTTGAGTTCAGGTAGGTAGGTTATTTAAAATGTGTTATGGCTATAAATATTTATTATTCAGTATCATGGGCACTTTTACATCCTAACTAGCTGGTGCCCGCGACTTCGTCTGCGCAGAATAAGTACTTCGAGTAGCCTACCTACTGTACTATATTCACTTTCATAGTTTTATTGGTTCTCCATATAAAGTTTCATGTCCTATTTCACTGCCTTCCAGATTATTTTCGTGACGTAGCCTATACCTTTCTCTTACCTAGGTCCCATCTATCTTTATACCAAAATTAATCAGTATTGGTCAGCGGTTTAAGTGTAAAAACGTAACAGTTAGAGTTACTTTCGCATTTAGAATATTAGTTTGGATTATAGATGTCATTGCGCCCTTTTGTTAAATATCTCTACCAATACATAATTTGCTTCCTAAACGTATGAAGTGTCAGACACACTGTGTATGTACACTGTGTGTGTACCTATATTTAGTACCGCGCAATTTTTACAAATCCTAGTCTGCAGCTGCTTTAAGTTATAAAAATAGGTCCTAATTTACATCCGATTTGAGTGGAATTTAAAGCAAACTTCAACGCTACTTGTGTGATCTAAATTAGTTCGAAGAAAAAAAAATTAAACCCGTTTTAAATTAACAACGTAAACAACACGGAAGCGGCTGAAAGTGACGCGGACGAAAATAAATGTTTTGTGTTTCTTACATGTTGTTATTAGCCGCAACTTATAACGTGAATTCCAATGGTTGCCTCCAATCAACGCTATAATTAATCAAGTACGACTATTGCATAATTCAAACAAAAACCAGTATTAAACGGAGTCTGACATCAGGAACGACAAAATGTTGTATCACTCAACACCCATTAAAGTGAGCCTGTTCTAAAGGAAGAAAAAGTATCGATTTCAACTATAGCTTGGTAACGATTTCACGTTGTTGCCGAGTTGCAGCGGAAATAGATTATGGCGAACGTCTGTAACGAAATTATTGCATGCGTGTTTACTGAAAACAGTCTTTTGCGAAAGTACCGGTTTAGGTGTTCGAAAACAGGTTGACCTGTTTATACATGTACAACTAAACATCTAACTCTAGTAACCACCTATTAGAAAAACCTGTTTGTAGAATCTAAATAGGAGTAACAATAAAATGCATATGTGAGCATAACAAAGTTACCTATATAATACTTTTGGCAAATACGTGGTAACTAAAATTACCTTCGGCCAAACTTAAAATAGCCATTTGAAGTTTATTCGTAGGCGTATCATAGTGTATAGTAGCTATTGTAAATAAGAAGCTACAGCAGACGGGCGTCTAAAATAGCGCCCTAAATGTCATTGGGTCCATGAACTTGTCGGGTTGATCGCAGTACACATGTAATTTTCCTAATTTACATCGAGAGTCAACGCTCCGGCTCGCGAAATCGCAGGCACAGCACAGATTAGGACGGGGGAAAAAGACACTTCTCACTACTTCAACTTTGAGTAGTAAGCAGGCAAATCAAAATGAATTTAGATGTACAAAGTACTCATGGCTTGTATGTTTTGTTAGACACGAACAGCGGAAACTTGCCGGAAATTCATCTTCAAGCGAACAGTGCTGTGACACAAACGAAATACTACAAGCTATTAGGCTTTCCTCGCTTGTAGTTGCTACGGCTTTTGCACCGCTTAGCGCCTGTCCGTTTGCGAAAGCGAAATGGAACGATAAACTTGGGAAATTCTTTATTTTAAATCTATTGAATGAACATTGATTACAGCTTTCTTCTGTCGCAGTTTATCAACGGATAAAATAATGCAGTAAATAGCTAAAGCTACGACACGAAAATAATAAAACTACTCCGTCTTACAATGTTGTTTTCCCTTATAAAGACAAGTTGTAAAATATTCGTTGGCTTTCGATGATAAATATTTATTCTCATCCCATATGTGGAAAAACTGGTCATTACAAAACTCGACAAGCTCGCAGCAGTGAAAGCATACGAATTCAATAAGTTCGCTATTACATAAGCTATCTTCTAAAAGTACCTCTGTGGCCCAACATTAGAATGTAATAGAGGAAAAACAGACTTTCAATATGATATGCTTTCTATAATATTTATTAACGAACGCTATTAGTAGGTATGAGTGGTTTTAAGATAACCACTGATCCTTGCAGAACAATTGTAGGATTGAAAACTCACCCGAATAAATCATCTGAGCGTAATAAATATGAATAGTTCACACTTACTCGACCGACAGTTGCAATGCTAATAAATTGTAATCTTTGTTAACTATAATGTTTATGATCGACTTGGACTCGCTCATGCGCAGGAGTCAACGAGGCGGCAAGGTCGGAAACTGGGAACAGCGGTTGACTAAATTGCAGTATCTATGTTGGAACCACAGCGTAATATCCACTCGGTTCTCGACGCCAGACTTTCCAAAATATAAAAAGAAATGACGGAATACTTTAAAAAATGATATCAAACCGTATATATGGTAAGATACATTTTCTGTGATTGACAACGTAATTAGGAATAAAATATTCATTTATGTAAATTGTTTTTAAATACTAGGGAAATCTGTGTTGTAGGTGCCATGGACACATACATAGACAACCATAAATTACACCCAAACTCACGAGAGAAAAGAAATGTAGGCCATACAAATATTTCTCCCGGTCCGGGAACCGATCCCGGGACCTATGCGTAGCAGACCACGGCACGGCTAGCATGGCCACGGAGGCAGTTAAGTAATTAACCCCAAGCGCGTCCGCGCACTGCATCCGATTCGTATTCGTTCCGTATCGGAGACTAGACAAATCTAGAAAACTCAGACCCACTTTGAATGTCGCTTGTGCACTAAGTCCGATAAAATATGAAAATCGCTTGTACACCTGGAGATCAAAAATGATCCCTGTAACATTTCGAACCATCGTTTCTCAGAATACACACAATAAAAACACCAAGACTGAAAAATTTAATGTGAGCCAACTATAAAAATGACTTCAGATAAACAAACCGTTCAACCAATCAGCCTGTTGCAGTCCACTGCTGGACATAAACCTCCCCCAACTGTACGCCATCGCCATAGTGCCCGACAACAAACCGTTCAGTTGCATTAAATTTCGAAAACATTATTGCAATCATTCAAGGTGCTTATTCATTGGTTCTTGCGTCTATGGTTCTTGCTTTCAAAACTTATAAAACACCCAGGCTTGATTATATTCGTGTTTACTAGTTAAAAGTACCTAAGAGCAATAATGTTCTCAATCCATAAGGATTCAGTTATTTTCAATACAGTAACATATTGATTAGTGTCGAATATCATCAATGTAATGCAAGCACTGTCAATACATTATGTAACTGGGACAGAGAAAAATGAAGCTTATGAAATTGTAATGATATTCAAGTGAGACAGTGGAAATTTTACCGCAGTTAAGTACCTACTTGTTTATGAGTTCGACTGTATGATGAATTTACAAGGTGACCTCGATTTAAACAGAGGCGATCAGGTTGCAATTTAATTAAATCTTTTTGTATTAAGAGCTCTCATGCCAAAAAAGTTTTGACGTTGGCTCCGCCTAAATTTGTGAAACAAGTATATGCCTGAAGTTCGCGTGACATGCGACAGGAGATGTTGAATTTTGCGCATTAAAAGTACCAAATTCGTTTTAGCGGAATAACTCTAAAACTAAAGGGATTAAAAAAAAATCCGTAGTGACAGTCGTCTTATCAATTATCTAACTTTTGTCCTAATAACCTATAGCATTTCGAGGATAAATCGAAAAAAATGTGAAAATTAGAGGTCATTTCGTGATTTTTATCTATCGAGGAAACTTTATTGTTTTATGTTTCTGATTAATGTCTATGCTTGAATATATCGTGTAGATACTCATACAATATTTTATTTTTAACTTTAAAGTGGATATACCCCTCTAAAATCAAATCGAAGATTAGGAATTTTTCCTCTGTTCCCACGTAAGCAAATGACATTTGTGACCACCATCTTATTTTTATACGTCGTTGAAGTGAAGTGAGGCACAAACATCCGAGTCCAACTTGATGGGCCCGAATTAGGCGTTTTGACGTATCTCGTGAAGTTAATACATTTTTTTTTTTATTGATAAAGAAAACAAGATACTGGTAATGAACTTCCCTCGATGAAAAAAAATCAAAAGTTCAGTATTTTTTTTTTACTACGTTACGCTACGAAAAATCAATTT